GGGAGAAAGCACAAATACACAGGATCATAAATGAAAGAGGAGAAATCACAACGGACACAGCAGAAATCAAAAGAATAATCAGTAACTACTATGAACAGTTATATGGAAACAAGTTCAACAATCTAGAGGAGATGGACAAATTCCTATAACTCTACAACCACCCAAAGCTAGATAAAGAAGAAATAGAACACCTAAACAGACCAATTACAAGCAGCGAAATTGAAATGGTAATCAAAAACCTCCCCAAAAACAAAAGCCCAGGACCTGATGGATTTACAAATGAATTCTACCAAACATTCAGAGACGAATTAGTGCCTATCCTTCACAAACTCTTCCAAAAAATTGAGAAGGAAGGGACAATACCAAACACGTTCTATGAAGCCAATATTACACTAATACCAAAACCGAATAAGGACAACACAAAAAAGGAAAACTATAGGCCAATCTCCCTAATGAACACTGATGCAAAAATCCTCAATAAAATTTTAGCTATCAGAATCCAACAATGTATCCATAAGATAATTCACCACGACCAAGTTGGATTCATTCCAGGGGCACAAGGATGGTTTAACATCCGAAAATCAATCAACGTTATCCAACACATCAACAAAAAGAAATATAAAAACCATATGATAATATCAATAGATGCTGAGAAAGCTTTCGACAAAGTGCAACACCCATTCATGATAAAAGCCCTTGAAATTCTTGGGATACAAGGAACATACCTCAACATCATAAAGGCCATCTATGACAAGCCAACAGCCAGTATCATTCTCAATGGTGAAAAGCTGAAAGCAATTCCATTAAGATCTGGAACAAGACAAGGATGTCCACTCTCACCACTGCTTTTCAATATAATACTGGAAGTCCTAGCCAGAGCAATAAGACAAGAGAAAGACATCCAAGGAATCCAAATAGGAAAAGAAGAAGTCAAACTATCACTATTTGCAGATGATATGATAATATACTTAGAGAACCCCAAAATCTCCACAGAAAAACTAATTCAACTCATCAATCAGTTCAGTAAAGTGGCAGGATACAAAATCAACACGCAAAAGTCAGTAGCCTTCCTATACACAAACAATAAATCTGAAGAAGAAGAAATCAAAAAAACCACCCCTTTTATTATTGAAACAAAAAAAATCAAATATTTGGGAATAAATCTAACAAAAGAGGTAAAGGACCTATACAAAGAAAACTATAAAACACTGTTAAAAGAAATAGAAGAAGACACAAAGAAATGGAAAGACATCCCCTGCTCATGGAATGGAAGAATAAACATTATTAAAATGGCCATCCTACCAAAAGCAATATACAGATTCAATGCTATTCCAATCAAAATCTCAATGGCATTCTTCAAAGAAATAGAACAATTATTGATGAAATTCATATGGAATCACCAAAAACCCCGAATAGCCAAAGCTCTACTGAAAAAAAAAGAAGGAAATGGAGGCATCAAACTCCCAGACTTCAAACTATACTACAAAGCCATAATCATCAAAACTGCATGGTATTGGAACAAGAACAGACATACAGACCAATGGAATCGAATAGAAAATCCAGAAATAAACCCACAGATTTATGGTCAACTAATCTTTGACAAAGGAGCAAAGACTATGCATTGGAGCAAAGAAAGTTTGTTCAATAAATGGTGCTGGGAAAACTGGGTCGCTACATGCAAAAGAATGAAGCTTGACCACTACCTCACACCATACACAAAAATCAACTCAAAATGGATTAAAGAACTAGACATAAGACCTGAAACCATAAAATACATAGAAGGAAATATAGGCGAAACACTACGGGATTTGCACATCAAAGACATCTTTACAGACACATCACCCAAAGCAGTGATAGTGAAGACAAAGATAAACAGATGGGACTACATCAAATTAAAGAGCTTCTGCACAGCAAAAGAGACAATAACAAAAACAAAGAGAAACCCCACCAACTGGGAGAACATTTTTGCACCCAACACTAATGATAAAGGACTGATCACAAAAATCTGCAAAGAGCTGATGAGACTCAGCAACAACAAAGAAAATAATCCAGTCAAAAAATGGGCAGAAGAGCTAAAAAGAAACTTCTCTGAAGAGGAAATGCAAATGGCCAACAGACATATGAAAAAATGTTCAACATCACTTGCAATCAGGGAAATGCAAATCAAAACTACCATGAGATACCATCTCACACCAGTGAGAATGGCACATATTAAAAAAACTAGCAACAACAAATGTTGGCGAGGATGTGGAGAAAAAGGAACTCTTGTGCACTGTTGGTGGGAGTGCAAACTGGTCCAACCATTATGGAGAGCTGTGTGGAGATTTCTGGACCTACTAAACATAGAGCTTCCATATGATCCAGCAATTCCACTCCTAGGTATTTACCCAAAGGACACAGAAACATCAATTCCAAAGAGCACCTGCACCCCTATGTTTATAGCAGCACTGTTTACAATAGCTAAGCTTTGGAAACAACCCAAATGCCCAAAAGTAGATGACTGGATCAAGAAGATGTGGTACATATATACCATGGAATATTACTCAGCATTCAAAAAAGATAAACACATGCAATTTGCAGCAACATGGATGGCGCTGGAAGGGATCATGGTCAGCGAAATAAGCCAAAAAGAAAAAGAAAAATACCAGATGGTCTCACTCATAGCAGGAATCTAGAAAACTTAAATAAGGGACCAGGAAAATGAATATAAGAAAGTGAAAATCAAAATCAACAAAAAACTATGAACCAGAGACACTTTTTGGGGGGGGGCGGGAGGGGAAGGATTGGGGTCAGAATGGGTCGTTTGCAATTGTATGGGGGAATATAAAAATAAAATTTAAGATTAAAAAAAAAAAAAAAAAAAAGAAGGAAGAACATTCATAGAGTACCAAAATATTTCTCAGAAAACGTTAATAAAGGGGAAAGGGCCATGGGTCAAAATGTAACAGGGTGGTCCCCAGGAAAGGGGGAGGTTCCCTGCTGCAGTCCTACCAATAAGCATTTTTTATACAGATCCAACATCGCCATTCCTCCATTGTTAGGGTCCCATCCAGGATCTCTCTCTGGGACAACAACCTCCGGCTCTGGGGACTGCCTATCCTGTTGGTGGAGACGGTCAGCCTCCTCCCTGGCTTTCCTGAATACCATCCTCTGCTCATCCAGCGTTAATAAAGTATGCAGCATGGACTGTATATCTGCCCAGTTAGGGCGGAGGGAGACAAAGATAGAGGCAAACAAGTTCGCCATTCATGGTTGCAATTTTTTTTCCAGCAAAGCTAACTTGTCACATTTTCTCTCCCCTTGATACCAACATGGCATACAAATAGTGGTAGTAATTTTGCTACTTATCTTAGAGTCTGTTTTTGCATAACTTACATAGGGATTTTGCCTGTTTTAACAAAAAAATTGGACGTGAGTTTGATTGTGTGGCTTTGTGTGGAGTTCTTCCAAAAAGTTGAAAAAGACCTGAACCAAGAAGAGGAGAACCTGTTTGCCTTGTTTGTAGGGTTCCAGAGACCTCCAAAGAAGGTGAGGAAGCTTGCCTCCATTGGCAGGACTGGACAACCCGGCCAACGAAAATGCCCTGGTACCCTCGAGAAGAGGAAAGCCCAGGAGTCTGATGAGACCAACTTTATACCTGAAGCCTACATGGACTGGATGCCACCGGTTCGCTCTGATCCTGTGTGGAGTATTTCAACAAAGCCAGCTAAAAATTGCTGTTAGTTATTTTCTGCCCTGTGATTTTATGCAAAAATAGGAAAAATGGTTTAAAAGTAAATTTAATTTGCAAATTTTTGCTATGCTGTTAAAGTTTGGGATCAAGGTTGAGAAAATTCGTTTTTGCATAAGTTGAACCATTTTAACATTTTTTCCCTGTGATTTTGATATATTTGCTATCTTGTTTTAGCCAATGCTCCAACTTTTTTTTCTTTTGGCTTGGATAATGGGCTATTTTTAAGTAATGAAACTGTCATACTGGACATTCATGGACAATGCTGCTGACTAATTGTTGCTTCTCTTACACACATTGGAACCCTGAAAAAAGACTGTCTCCTAAGACTACACCCTGAGATCTGTGCCACCATAGATATGGTGGAATAAAAATTAAAAGGGGGGATTGTAACAGGGTGGTCCCCAGGAAAGGGGGAGGTTCCCTGCCCCACCCAAGGGAGGGTGGAGCTGAGCAGGAAGAGGAGAAGCAGAAGAAGGGACTGAGGAAGGAAGCAGGATGGATCCAGGAGACCTGGAGGAGGCGCGTGGAGCCTAGAGACATGTGAAGAAGCTGCGCTTGTCTTTTGGTCGTGGACGGGGTGACACAGATGTGGGTGAGACCCATGGGGAGGTGACAATGGCAGCTTTTATCTTGATGTTGATTTTGCTCTTTTCCTTCCGGGCTTGTCTGGTTGTTTCTGACTCTTTTCTGTGGGTCCCCACTGGAAGATGCTTTAGACTTGTGGCAGGCTTTGGGGCCTTGCTTTGGGCCGATCCCATATGGATGGAGTTTTACCCACGAGGGGACGGGTAACTTTGGGTGCTTCATTTAGAAACTAGACTCTTTGCCTTACCTGTATTGTTTCCTAGTTTTTATTAAAGTTTCTTCCCATTAAAGTGTCATATGTTTTGTGTTGATGAGGCGGATGGCAGAACCCATTTAGAATAGGCAGGTTTGCGGGGTTTGGGCTGCCCCTCTCCCTGTCCTATAACAAAAACAGTCAAGTAGCTCTTGAAGACAAAAGCTAAAAACTTTTTTAAAGACTCCATAAGAAATATGTTTATGATTCCAACAAAAACAAAGCACACTAAGAACAGAGAAAGTGCTTTATGGGCCCTGAGGTACTTGCACAAATACCACTCAATTTGATTTGGCAAGATGGTAATGGCAAGACTCTGGCAATCTCTTGTTATCAGGATCTGAGTTCCTAGGAGCCAATGCTACCTCTACTGTGTTGCTGACGTGGGAAGGGGAACCTCCAAGGGTGCCTCTGTGTGGTGTTACTCACATGTCCTCCTCTGGACAGTGATTGCTATGGAAACGCGGCAGCACGGTGACCTCCACGGTGCATGGCTGCCCCTGGGAGCCTTGGCTGTCTGTGATTTGAATGGACACCATGACTGTAAGGGAACATGAAGAAGAGGTCAGCTTCCAAGTGGACAGAGATGTTTCTCCACACTCTGATGGCAACTCAAGGATGCAGGCTACGCTCAGTTTTGGCAAGGTCAGGAGGAGGTGAAATTGCAAGCGTGGTTGCCTCCCACGTAGCCTCCACTGTGGATGGCGACAGCCCAATAACCAGAATCTTTGTTGGGCCTAATCTAGGCTCCAGGGATTTTTATGGGAATTATAAGGGTACCAAAATAAAGTATGCCAAAACTGAAGTTGAAATTCTTTTGTACCTTTGAGGACAGCCAACATTCCAACACAAACCACTAGCCAGCAGTGCAGAGCACATGTAGCAGAGAGATGGGGAGGACAGGAGGACAGGGCAGCTGAGAGGAGGAGAAGAAGTGATCACTGCTGGCCAGTAGCCATCATTGCTCACTCATTCACTTGGCCTGCAAACATCTGTGCCTGCAGCAGAATGAGATGCCACAAGTGAACAAGATAGTCCCTGTCCTAACCTCCCCACCACCTCTCAGGGTTACACTCATTAAAAAGGAGATGAGCACTGAAATAGTGGTAAAAACTGCAGCCACAAGCCCAAAGAGAAACACAAGAAACCCAGAAGAAAACCAAACTCCACCATAGAGGCTCAAGTATGGGGTGATAATGTAACAAGTTGCTCAGTATAGAAATGTGATAGGATTGGAGAAAGATGAAGAAGAATTCTGACCGAGGGGGAGTTTTCATTGAGCATGGCAGAAAATGGGCTTCTGGGTGCTTGGGAGCTCCTTTTGGTGGCAGGGGCCCATGGTGAGACCTGCAAATGGTGGCTGGTGGTGAAGGGCACAGGTGCAGGCACATGAACCACCTGGGGCGGAGCAGGGCACAGGGGTACCTGGCACCTCCCGAAGACATCCTCAAGCCAAAACACACTGCCCAGAAGGTAGGACTTAGTTTTGAAGGTCAAGGCTTGCTAATATGTGGTCTCTGGATACTGGCATCCTAATAATTGATACAAGTAAATGCTGGGTTCTACCTTCTTTCTGAGTCAATAGAAGTTCGGTGGGTTCCAAGTTTAACTGCAAAAAAGCTGCAATTCTATAAGTAATTCCACGGCAGATAACATTGATCTTCTAAATCAAATTAGAGAATATAGGAGGAGAAGGGTTCAGGCAAGACTCCTATCTGACTCCTATCTGAGTTAAAGTGTTGGACAGTTAGGGTGGGGAGGGCGGTGCCTAAAAGAAAGATTAGCAGTGAGCATACCCACAACTCCAGGAAACCCTTGCCAGAGCTGATAAAGCCTGAGGAGAGTCAAGAAATGCACAGAGAGGCAAAGGCAGTACCTGACGCCAACTTATAGGCAGGACAATAAAGCCTGAGGAGACCAAGAGCAGCAAAGGGGGGAAGGCAACCCCCACCCCTGCTGCTGGAGTTGATAAAACTACACCCCAGGAGCCCAAAGTCACAGGGAGTGACTAAGAAACTCCTGCCTGAACTGATAAACCAACAGCCTGGACACCTGTGCAGTTACACTGGAAAGGGCTGGAGTAAGCAGCCCCCTGTACCCCATTTAAGCCAGACTCCTCTGCCTTTCCTGGCAGCTATTCTTCCCTGGACCCTGGCCACCCAGACCTCTTGGACATACTGTCCTCAAGTAACTTTGCTTTATTTTGCCTAAACATTCTTTTATAGCCATAGTCAAGACTTAAGGAACCCCCAAACCCAAGAACATCTAATGACCCAAAATCTAGACTATTCATGCAAGAAACACGATATGATTAAATATTCATCATTTGTATTTTTTGTCACTTATCTATACCCTCATCTGAATGCTGGATTCAGAGATCTTAATTTTTTTTTTTTATTCATTTATTTGTTTGTTTTGTTTTATACATGCACTGGGTACAGTCAGAAGCACGGGAGGGTGAGAGAATTCACCAGAGCCAGAGCGGGGAGCAGAACAGGCAGAAGGACCGAAGTACACTGCTGAGGGGAGCAGCGGGCGGCAGGAGAGGTCTGCGCGCCATGTGGGACCCTCCATTGGTGGCCGGGGAGCAGCCGGGGATCGAACCGGCGCCGCAGAGGCCACGGGCAGCTTCGCAACCCAGCGCTCAACCGCTGCGCCACCGGGGAGGCCCCAGAGATCTTAAATTTTGAGAAGACAGAGGGTGGGCACAATTTCAGTCTAAATAATATAGTAAATAATATTATATAGTAAATAATAAATAATATTATATAGTAAATACTAAATAATATAGTAAATAATATTATATAGTAAATAATTATTATTTTTTTTTTTTTAATATTAAATTTTATTTTTATATTCCCCCATACAATTGCAAACGCCCCATTCTGACCCCAATCCTTCCCCTCCCGCCCCCCACCCCCCAAAAAGTGTCTCTGGTTCATAGTTTTTTGTTGATTTTGATTTTCACTTTCTTATATTCATTTTCCTGGTCCCTTATTTAAGTTTTCTAGATTCCTGCTATGAGTGAGACCATCCGGTATTTTTCTTTTTCTTTTTGGCTTATTTCGCTGAGCATGATCCCTTCCAGCGCCATCCATGTTGCTGCAAATTGCATGTGTTTATCTTTTTTGAATGCTGAGTAATATTCCATGGTATATATGTACCACATCTTCTTGATCCAGTCATCTATTTTTGGGCATTTGGGCTGTTTCCAAAGCTTAGCTATTGTAAACAGTGCTGCTATAAACATAGGAGTGCAGGTGTTCTTTGGAATTGATGTTTCTGTGTCCTTTGGGTAAATACATAGGAGTGGAATTGCTGGATCATATGGAAGCTCTATGTTTAGTAGGTCCAGAAATCTCCACACAGCTCTCCATAGTGGTTGGACCAGTTTGCACTCCCACCAACAGTGCACAAGAGTTCCTTTTTCTCCACATCCTCGCCAACATTTGTTGTTGCTAGTTTTTTTAATATGTGCCATTCTCACTGGTGTGAGATGGTATCTCATGGTAGTTTTGATTTGCATTTCCCTGATTACAAGTGATGTTGAACATTTTTTCATATGTCTGTTGGCCATTTGCATTTCCTCTTCAGAGAAGTTTCTTTTTAGCTCTTCTGCCCATTTTTTGACTGGATTATTTTCTTTGTTGTTGCTGAGTCTCATCAGCTCTTTGCAGATTTTTGTGATCAGTCCTTTATCATTAGTGTTGGGTGCAAAAATGTTCTCCCAGTTGGTGGGGTTTCTCTTTGTTTTTGTTATTGTCTCTTTTGCTGTGCAGAAGCTCTTTAATTTGATGTAGTCCCAGCTGTTTATCTTTCTCTTCACTATCACTGCTTTGGGTGATGTGTCTGTAAAGATGTCTTTGATATGCAAATCCCGTAGTGTTTCGCCTATATTTCCTTCTATGTATTTTATGGTTTCAGGTCTTATGTCTAGTTCTTTAATCCATTTTGAGTTGATTTTTGTGTATGGTGTGAGGTAGTGGTCAAGCTTCATTCTTTTGCATGTAGCGACCCAGTTTTCCCAGCACCATTTATTGAACAAACTTTCTTTGCTCCAATGCATAGTCTTTGCTCCTTTGTCAAAGATTAGTTGACCATAAATCTGTGGGTTTATTTCTGGATTTTCTATTCGATTCCATTGGTCTGTATGTCTGTTCTTGTTCCAATACCATGCAGTTTTGATGATTATGGCTTTGTAGTATAGTTTGAAGTCTGGGAGTGTGATGCCTCCATTTCCTTCTTTTTTTTCAGTAGAGCTTTGGCTATTCGGGGTTTTTGGTGATTCCATATGAATTTCATCAATAATTGTTCTATTTCTTTGAAGAATGCCATTGAGATTTTGATTGGAATAGCATTGAATCTGTATATTGCTTTTGGTAGGATGGCCATTTTAATAATGTTTATTCTTCCAATCCATGAGCAGGGGATGTCTTTCCATTTCTTTGTGTCTTCTTCTATTTCTTTTAACAGTGTTTTATAGTTTTCTTTGTATAGGTCCTTTACCTCTTTTGTTAGATTTATTCCCAAATATTTGATTTTTTTTGTTTCGATAATAAAAGGGGTGGTTTTTTTGATTTCTTCTTCTTCAGATTTATTGTTTGTGTATAGGAAGGCTACTGACTTTTGCGTGTTGATTTTGTATCCTGCCACTTTACTGAATTGATTGATGAGTTGAATTAGTTTTTCTGTGGAGATTTTGGGGTTCTCTATGTATATTATCATATCATCTGCAAATAGTGATAGTTTGACTTCTTCTTTTCCTATTTGGATTCCTTGGATGTCTTTCTCTTGTCTTATTGCTCTGGCTAGGACTTCCAGTATTATATTGAAAAGCAGTGGTGAGAGTGGACATCCTTGTCTTGTTCCAGATCTTAATAGAATTGCTTTCAGCTTTTCACCATTGAGAATGATACTGGCTGTTGGCTTGTCATAGATGGCCTTTATGATGTTGAGGTATGTTCCTTGTATCCCAAGAATTTCAAGGGCTTTTATCATGAATGGGTGTTGCACTTTGTCGAAAGCTTTCTCAGCATCTATTGATATTATCATATGGTTTTTATATTTCTTTTTGTTGATGTGTTGGATAACGTTGATTGATTTTCGGATGTTAAACCATCCTTGTGCCCCTGGAATGAATCCAACTTGGTCGTGGTGAATTATCTTATGGATACATTGTTGGATTCTGATAGCTAAAATTTTATTGAGGATTTTTGCATCAGTGTTCATTAGGGAGATTGGCCTATAGTTTTCCTTTTTTGTGTTGTCCTTATTCGGTTTTGGTATTAGTGTAATATTGGCTTCATAGAACGTGTTTGGTATTGTCCCTTCCTTCTCAATTTTTTGGAAGAGTTTGTGAAGGATAGGCACTAATTCGTCTCTGAATGTTTGGTAGAATTCATTTGTAAATCCATCAGGTCCTGGGCTTTTGTTTTTGGGGAGTTTTTTAATTACCATTTCAATTTCGCTGCTTGTAATTGGTCTGTTTAGGTGTTCTATTTCTTCTTTATCTAGCTTTGGGTGATTGTAGAGTTGTAGGAATTTGTCCATCTCCTCTAGATTGTTGAACTTGTTTCCATATAACTGTTCATAGTAGTTACTGATTATTCTTTTGATTTCTGCTGTGTCCGTTGTGATTTCTCCTCTTTCATTTATGATTCTGTGTATTTGTGCTTTCTCCCTTTTTTCCTTTGTGAGCCTGGCTAGGGGTTTGTCTATTTTATTTATTTTTTCAAAGAACCAGCTCTTGGTTTCATTGATCTTTTGGATTGTTTTTTTAGTTTCAATTTCATTTATTTCTGCTTTGGTTTTTATTATTTCTTTTCTTCTACTGGTTCTGGGGTTTTTTTGTTGTTCTTTTTCTAGATCTTTGAGCTTCGAGATTAGGTTGTTTCTTTGAGTTCTTTCTTGTTTTTTGATGTGAGCTTCTATTGCTATATATTTTCCTCTTATTACTGCTTTTGCTGCATCCCATACATTTAGGATATTGGTGTCCTCCTTGTCATTCAATTCAAAGAATTTTTTAATTTCTTCTTTGATCTCCTCATTAGTCCAGTGGTCTTCCAGTAGTGTGGCTTTTAATCTCCATGAGGTAGGATAGTTCCTTGCCTTCTTTTTATGATTTATTTCTAGTTTGATGCCTTCGTGGTCAGAAAAGATGGTTGGTATGATTTCAATCTTGGTGTATCTGTTGATGTTTGTCTTGTGCCCCAGTATGTGATCGATCCTGGAGAATGATCCGTGTGCGCTTGAGAAAAATGTGTACTCCGTTTTTTTTGGGTTTAGTGTTCTATAGATGTCTGTTAAGCCCAAATGCTCTAGGTCCTTATTTAGAGCTTTAGTTTCTTTACTTATTTTTTGTCTTGTTGATCTATCCATTGTTGATAGTGGTGTGTTGAAGTCTCCCACTACATATGTGTTTTCTCTGATGTCTGTTTTCAGAGAGGACAACAGTTGTCTGATATATTTTGGTGCTCTTTCGTTTGGTGAGTATATGTTAATGAGTGTTATTTCTTCTTGAAGTATTGTCCCCTTAATCATAATGTAGTGACCATTGGGGTCTCTTTTTATTTTTTTGAGTTTGAAGTCTGTTTTATCTGATATAAGTATAGCTGTTCCTGCTTTCTTTTTTGGCCCATTTGCTTGTAGGATTGTTTTCCATCCTTTGACTTTGAGCCTATTTTTATCTTTTGTAGCTAAATGTGTTTCCTGGAGACAGCAAAAGGTTGGGTTTTGTTTCTTAATCCAGGCTGCAACTCTGTGTCTTTTTATTGAAGAGTTTAGTCCATTTACATTTAGAGTTAATATTGATATGTTAGCATCTGTAGTTGCCATTATGTTTGTCTTTCCTTTGATTTTATTTATTTATTCTTTTAATAACTTTTTTTTTTTTTGATCTTCTTTCGTTGTTATTCGTCCCTCTGAGGTTCTGGCTTTAGGATTCCTTGTAGTATTTTTTGGAGTGGGGGTTTAGTCGCAATGAAATTCCGGAGTTTCTCTTTGTCTGGGAAGGTCCATATTCTTTCTTCATGGAGGAAAGAGAGCTTTGCGGGATAGAGTATTCTTGCTTGGCATCTGTTTTCTTGGAGTCTGTTGACTATGTCCCTCCACTCTCTCCTTGCCCGTAGAGTTTCTTCAGAGAAGTCTGATGTCAGCCTGATTGGTTTTCCTTTGAATGTTATCTGTTTCTTCCCTCTTGTCAGCTTCATTATTTTTTCCTTGTCCTGGATTCTTGGGAGCTTTACTATTATGTGTCTTGCTGTGTTTTTCCTTTCGTCGTGGAAGTTTGGTGTTCTTCTTGCTTCTTGTATATCAATTTTCAGCTCCTTCTTCTCATTTGGGAAGTTCTCTTCAATTATATCCATGAATATTTTCTCTGTTCCTACATCTCTCTCCTCTCCTTCTGGAATTCCTATAACTCTTATATTTCCTTTCCTCATGGAGTCAGATAGTTCCCGAAGTCTTTCTTCATTCTTTTTCCTTCTGCCTTCTCTTTCCTTTTCTGTTTTGGTTCTTTTTATTTCTGTGTCTTCAAGATTACTTATTCGTTCTTCCATTTCATCTATTCTGCTTTCATTGCTTTTCCCAGAGTTCTTTAGTTCCTCCATTAATTCTTTGATCTCCTGCATTTCTCTTACTTCCCTCTTTAGGGACTCAATTTCCTTCTTCTGATCTATCACTTTTTTAATCATGGCAATTTTAAATTCTCTTTCTGGAAGGCTCAGAAGTTCTTCCAAGTTGCTGTCGTTGCAATCTGGGGAGTGGTTTTCTTTTTGTGGTGTGCTTCTTTCCTGAGGAGTTGTTAGGTTGCGTGTGGTTCTTCTACTCCCTACTGTCTGTTTTCTAATTTGTCGTATGCGTTGGGACACTGTGTTGCTCAGACTGACTGACATCTTGGGTGAACTTCTCTGCTCCCCTCTGGCTCTTCCAGGAGCCATCTCTGTCTTCTGGGGGAGCTTTCTGCTGGTTTTAGGCAGTTTTTACTGAAGAAATGTCCCTGTTCTCAAATGGCGAAGCGGGGTGCAGTCCCTGCGCCTCCGGTTTCAGGCACACTCTTCTGCGCACCCGGTCTGCCCCGGACGTGGGTGCCTGCTCCCTCTGTGGGCTCAGACTGCTGGTCGGAAGGGGCCTGGCGTGGAATAACTTCCCGGCTGGCCACTGGGTCCTCCAGAAACCTTCTGCCCTTTTCAAGCAGACTTAAGAAATGTCCTGTTTTATAGGGTGTTAGTGACTTTTTTTTTTCCTGGTCGCTAGGTGGCGCCAGAGATCTCTCCTATTGTCCTTGGGGGGCTGTTTTTCGCCTCCCCCCACCCCGTGGGACAGAGAACAGAGCGGGAATGGTAGGGTACACCTCAACAGCTTTGGGGTGCTGTGTCTGCCTTGTGCCCCACCGTCGTGGAGAAACCACGCCCCGAATTTTCGTGCCCCGGGTCTCAGTTCAAAGCCCTCAGGTCCAGGACGCGGGCTGTAGCCCAGTTCAGTGGCGCGGGAATGGCGCCTTTTGCACCCGGCTCCAGTGCCTGTGCGCCTGGTTCCTGCTTACTCAGGGAGGGACCTTCACCTCAGTGAGGACCTCCGTGCGTCTCCCCGCAAGCCTAGGTCGTCTCCCCGCAAGCCTAGGTCGCAGGCGCGGGGACCTGGGCAGCCGCGATCCCGGTCTGCACTTGCTTTTCAAGCGCGCCAGGCGCGCTGCGTTTCCCGCGCAGGCTTACTGGCAGCCCGGGCTGTGTGCGCGGCTCCCGGGGTCTTTGTTCTTCTCTAATGGCGCCCGGAGCCGTTCGCTCGCCGCCGCGGCGGATCCTGCAGGGTTTGCCTCAGCTCCCGTTCACGGGGTGTGGTGGCTGCAATAGTTCCTTTCCGCTCACAGTCCCGCTTGCTGAGTCGTTTGTTCTTGTTGGTTGTTTTGGTTTGTTGTTTCCTCCTCTCTGCCGGTCGGAGAGTGCCACCTCTGTGGGCGGGGGAGGGGAGCAGGGTTCTGCGCTTCCCTCCCTTCTAGTCCTCTTTTATGGCCACTTTCTTCTTCGGGCAGTTCGCTGGCGTCACCCGTTTATCTTCCGTGTCCCAGTTCTCACTGGGACCTGCCGCTTTTCCTCCCTATTCACTTTTTTTAATGGGAGATCTTACTCGCAGTGTCTCCTGGCCGCCATGTTGCTCCGCCCCTCTCCAGTAAATAATTATTATAGTAAATAATTTACTATATTATTTAGACTTGGGGAGGGCCTCCCCTGGTGGCACAGCGGTTGAGCGCTGGGCTGAGAGGCTGCCTGCAGCCTCTGCAGGGCAGATTCGTTCCCCGGCCGCTGGCGAGGGTCTCCCCCCCCACACACACACAATAATATATTGGGGAAACCCATGAAAACCACTTTCATCCACTCAGCCAGCATGTACAGTGCACATCTGACAGAGAGCAGACATGCCCACACAAAGCACTGTGCAGCCTCCTGTTTACTTTACTGGCCTCACCCAGAAGAAATAGGTCAAGGGTTCTTGAGGAAGAAATTATCTTCGCTGGACTTGGGGAAGTGACATTTAAATAAATAAAGGAGATAAACTGGTTGAATCATCAGACTGAAATAATCTCACAATCCAAAGGAAAGAAAATTCTAGATCAGGGACTCTTAAGCTTGCCTGCATATTGGAATCATCTGGAATCTGGAATCATCATGTACAAAAGACCTCTTACCACAGAACTTCTAATTTAACCTAATTTAACTGGCCTGGAGTTCTGTGGCAGACACTTTCCTCAGTGACAGCATCTCTAACATGTTCAGGTGAGCAGTTTCCAGGGGCTGGTATAGATCTGGGCAGGACAGGGTCAGAGGAGAAGGCTGTGGACACTGTGGGGCTCATTTTGTTCTGAGGACAACCATGCCAACCCAACATTCCTGTACCCCACATCCCCTTCTTGGAAGGGCACCTTGATTTGGTTTCGTCTATACCAAAGGTAAGATTCACCAGACACAACATATCATTAGTAAGTAAGGAATATCTGGGTCTCAAGTAGTTGATCCATATATACCAACCATTCTTTGGTGTTTTATAATTTACAGTTGTAATGTTTTAAAATTTCAGTTATAATTTAAGATATATGCATTAATTTATAACATTTCTAATGTACTTTCTGCACCAAAAAGTAGCCAATCAAACTAAAGTAAAAAGCAGTGAACCTATTTTAGATGTATAACAATTTTATTTTCTACATGCATAATTTTAATAATTTTTAGTTTTAAAAATCCAGAGAAATCATTTGGACCTTAAATAATTCCAATAATGACTTACCTTTATAATTTTCCACGGGGTCACCCGCTGGCAGTGCAAAATAATATTGGGTATCTCTGCCGGAGTACAAGGTGTGTTTGGAGGTGTTTCCTATCCCATAACTAAACTCATAAAGAAAGTCCTATGATCCATTCCAAAGAGAGGAAAAATCAACATAAGTGAGCACACTGCACCACTCCCCAGTAAACAGACAAACACCTGCATCCTTCCTTCCTTCTGCAGGACATTGTTCCGAGACAGGGATGGAGAGGGAGTTACTTAGCCACCTTCCCCTCCACAGCCCTTTGACCATGGAATCCAGAGGACTCTCACAGAGGCCATCTGTCACTCAGGGTTTGTGCCCCTCCTCCCCGCCCTGGGGCTTCCTGGAGGCCATGGAAGCACAGTCTGGGCTCCTAGGGGTGAAGGGAACACTGGAGATTCTCCCAGTGCTAGGGCACCTAGCTGGGGGTGCAGGTGGTGCTGAGAGAAGGAGCAGCCTGCAAAGGCACAGTTCAAGAGCACGGGGCCAGAGAGTAGTCCCTCGCGGTGCCGGCCACCCAAGCTTTCTTTAAACCCATCCTCTTACTTAAGCCTCACAAGACCCGAGGAAAATCACCATAATTTTCTTCCCCTCTGCAAACCAGTAGAGAAGTTTACAGGAACCGGCAGGACTCTTTACCAGAGTCACCACGGCACAGACCCAGCATTAACTGTAGGGCCTGCTCTGACGAGCTTAGGAGAGGCCACTCCAGGCTATGCAGGTCTGCCAAACCTAGCAACCTGTTCAGCCACCATTTTGTTATCGACAGTTCTAAATCCTAAGCAAGGTCAGAACCTCCAGTCAGTTAGGTACAGGAGCCCAATCCTGCAAGGTGCCTTTCAAATCAATCAAGAGCACAAAGCTGGATCATGCTGGGAAGACTATGCATCAGGAGGTATGACAGGGAATGCCCGGGGGTGCCAAGGACCTAGGTATAACAGATGTATAACAAGGGACCCACGGAAGCTGATCAGTGGAATGCCTTGTTGATAAGATTGAAACCTTGGCTGGGGAACTGTAGCTTGATCTCAATTACAATACCAAGTCATCAAGCTGATAAGAAATGTCTGGAGGGCAGACTCACAACCCCTGATACTACAGATGACAGAGCACCTTTTCTAGTTTCATCCCTCCCTTTTCTCTTTGTCCTCCTTCCTTTCAACTGATGCTGTATAATTCTTCTATCAATAAAAAGGCCAAGATCTTGCTCCTCAGCAGCATCCTGCATTATGTAGCCTGCTCCATGACTCCTGTTTCTTTATCACTGTGGTGTTGCCCAATGAACCAGCTCCATTCCCTCCATCCTGTGCTTGTGGATACAACACTTCCTATCTGTGACTGAGGCCCACACTCCCCTCCTCCAGGAATCTGCCTCCTGCTAGGTGGGGCCACACTGTGTGCCTCCACTACTGGAAGGAGACTCTATTCAGGCCTCAGTAACTTCCCAACATGAAGTTTCAGGCCCAAGTTCATCTAGATGGGAAGGATGATGCTTTCCAGCCCACTGCATTTCACCCTGAGATTGGTCACAATTTCTGAGAGTTGTTGCTGCTTCAGTCCTTCAGGACTGATCCGGATGAGGCCTGCCATACCGGTCTCCCAGACATGCAGAAGATGCTGAAGATGGTGTGTGCTTCTAGGCCACGAGGGGGCTGCACCTGACAGGACACATCTCCAGGCGCTTGTTTGACTGTCAAGTACAGCTGAGCTTTCCCTAGTAATCTGTGCTTTGAAGCTAAAGAAAAGATAAAATAGAGATTAAACCCATCACGGAAAATTTTACTGGTACAGGATTATAGTTTTATAGCACAAACATGCGTGGGTCTCAAGGCATATTCCCAAGACTAGCAGCATCATCTGAAAACTTGCTAGAAATTCTGATTCTTGAATGCCACGCCAGACCTAGAGAATCAAAGCTAATGCTGATCTGTGGAAACATACCTTCCAGGGGATTCTGCTGTCCCCTGGACTGAGGACACCACTCTATAGCATCCACGAATATAATAGATGCTTCCCGGGTGCTCACCATGTGTGCAGCACAACCTGAGGCTCCAGGAAGCCAGGGTCCATGGGACAGACCACCTCCTTTCTTGGAAACCAGCCAACAACCAGGAGACAGAACTCAAGGCCCAGAGCATAAAACCCCAAAGAACACAGCATTCCCACAGCCTCCTTCAGCCCCTGGGTTTTCTTAAAGTCTGTTCCACAAACATACTTAAGTATAGCTTAGTGAAATTTATAGTGCTGGTATAATATTATATTTTAGTTTTATCAACTATATTGATATAGTTAGGGGGAAAGGATGTCCTGAGCTAATTTCATACAGACTTTGTGGACTCCAGCCCCACTTTAAACCAAAGGGAACGTTGCTGGGACCTGAGGGTGGAGTTAAGTAGTCAGGTTTGGTATAAAAACCAAACACGTGGGCCTTGGGGGCTCTCGCTTGCTTGCTTTCTTGCTCGCCTCCTGGCTTTACGGTTCCTGGCTTGCGGCCAACTCTCAGAGTGCCATTTGGGATTTCAGATCAGTGGATTGGGTGGGACGTATTTAAAACTTTGTCTCCCACTTTTTTTCCTGAGTTGTACATTTCCTCATTTGCCCTTTCCTTGTAAATAAACCTTTTATTAACCTTTTGTGTGTGCCTGCAGTAGAGTATTGATAAGTCCTTTTAAGCATGCGGGTGAGGACCCACAGTCAGGCAACCCGTTTTGTATCGGGGCTGCCCTGTAACAGTTTCATAAACTATTTTTCGTGTTGCCAGATGGTGCTCAAAACTGCATAAGACTCCACTGAGCAGATACCCTAATTCACATAACCATTTTTCTCTAATTATTAAGCATTTTAATTTCTATTGCTATTATTATACCATCTATAATGACTATTTTTACATACATACACCCCCCCCACACACACATATATATTTACTTTGATGTCTTTTTCTGGAGATAAATTATAGGAGCAAGATTCACATGGTAAATTGTTTAAAATTTTGATGCTGACAATGATGATGATGGTCATAACAAATTGCTGGCTTCTGCTACACTCTAGATGCCAGGCTTAACAGTGGAGCAGGGGGGAAGTTGGAGGGAGTGAGGCCACTCAGGAACAAGGGGCCAATTGCAGAAATGACTGCAATTTCCAGGGGAAAAAATATGAATATAACCAAAACTCTGGTGCTCCTGCAGCAGATCTAGCTGATGGTACGACATACCCACAGAAGCTTGTAGGACATATGTCTCTCCAGGGTCCAGTGAGTATGGCTGTACTGTCACAGCATGTTCCATTATACCTACAGAACAGGAGAGGCCACAATCAGGTTTTCACTGCAGTGTCCTGCCAGTGGGGGATCCAGTTGTCATTACCTTCCAAAAGAAGCTGGAGTTCCAGTAAGAGTGTGGTCTTCCAAAAACAAGCCATCTAATAAGTACAAAGTCAAGGCTGGACCTGGACCTGGACCAAGGCTGGACTCCTCCAGCACAGAGCTCTCTCACTCCAGAGGTGAAGGTAAAGTAGACACCAGTTAAGTGCACTTGTTTCTACCTGGAAATGTTATCAGTCTGTCATGATCAGCCTTCTGTACAGAGCTAAAAACTCCAGGCTGCCCCTACATGACAGAAGCAATATTGAGCACACAGGCCAGTGAGCCCAGTTCAGCAAGGACACTCATTTCCAGGCAATGAGAGAATGCCAGTAAGAATTTAATTTACAGGGCCTCCCCCAGTGGCACAGTGGTTGAGCGCTGGGCTACGAGGCTGCCCGCAGCCTCTGCTATGCTGGTTTGATCCCCGGCCACCAGCGAGTGTCCCACATGGCGCGCAGACCTCTCCTGCCACCCGCTGCTCCCCTCAGCAATGTACTTTGTCAGTCTGCCTGTTCTGTTTCCTGCTCTGGTTCTGCTGATTTCTCTCACCCTCCTGTGCTTCTGACTGTGCCCAATGCTTGTATAAATAAAATTAATAAATAAAAAAAATTTAATTTACATATTTATAATTAGGTGTAGAGTTTACTTTGGCTAAGGTATTTCAAAGCAATTTTTAAGTCTTCCAAATCATGGGCTGTAAATGATCTCTTAAACCTGGCTGTGACTTGGCCATTGGTGACTGGATCACTTTCTTAGCAGGTAGAGTTTGACCCTGAATGACACCCTTCAAAAACAGAGAAATCTCAAATGTAAGACTGATGAGCCAAACAGGACAGTTTAATGTCACAATTTTAGAACTACATTCTCTAAAATGTTGCAGGGAAAGAGTACAGTGGAAATCACTCTTAACAGCATGAAACTCAGGGCCTAACTACATGTGTTATTGATCCAATAAACTAACAGCACCAGAGGGATTAGTTACCACCCCACTGCTCTTAACGAACAGTGTCACATGTTGAATTCCCGGAATGGCCCTTCCATACCACAGAACAGGTATAGCAGGTGTGTGCACACGGGTGTCTGGGCTCTGGTGGTCATTCTCGGAGATGCTGTATATATTAGCTGGTTCTTCCCTGTGGTCTGAAAACAGGGGGCTACTGGCAGGATACAGAAGCTATTTTACTTTAATGAAAGAGGCTTGCCTAAAGTCCACATTGGGACAGGCACACTGGAAAGGTATAATTGTTTCATATACTTAACTAACAAAAGGAAAAGTTACAGTAGAAGTTGAGGATTTTGATATCCAAATCCTGCTAAAACAGCTGCATTTCGCAACATGCAAAGAGGGCAAGCTTACCAGAAGAGGTATAGCCATGGAAAACAGCTCTATTAAGCAGGGACTTGGGCCAGTCCACCAGCAGCGTAGGTCTGGCACTAACGGTGGGGAGGTAGGGACCCACAAGATTATCCCCATCACTGTGGCCCCCATCAGCACTCACACTTGGTTCTGATCCTGGAAGGTTGGTCCCTAAGAAGACAAACCAAGCCATTGTATGGTAGGAAAAAAGTCATAGTGATCTTAAAGCATTAATGGTTCAAAGTCAATACCAGTAGCCATTTCTACAATTGCTAAACACTGCACACCTAAAATAGATTTCAGCAGCTCAATGTATTCAAGAGATGAATTTAAACATCATTTCATCAAATCAACTGCCTTTATTTATTAAGCAAATATTTATTCTGATATACTAAGATAAGGTTGTAGTCTAGAGATTGGAGATACAGCAGTAATCATAGTATGGGAATTCTATGGTAAGCAAGGCAAAAAAAATACATAAATACTATAAAGCCAGATAATGATAAGTGTCCTGTAGACACTATGGAGGGACAGAGAAGAGGGGAGGGATGGAAGAAGAGGGAAAGGAAGAGAGAGAGAGAGAGAGAGAGAGAGAGAGAGAGAGAGGGAGGAAAGAGAGAGAGAGAGAGGAACAGAGAAGTCTTTTAGGAAAAATTCAAAACAGAAATGTCCAGGGCCCTCAGTTGTCACCCTACATGTGGTTGAAAGTCATCTGAGGGAGTGGTTAGGGTGAAAATCTGGTTTGAGATCTTAAAAGTAATCTGGCTGCATGTGATAAATGACTATAGGCAGCAAGATAGTGGCAGAGGGAACATAAAGAGTTCCTGCATGGTCTAGGCAAGGAGCTGGACTCTGCTTAGGTATAGCAGGACAGTCATTAGGGAAGGCTAATTTGAGATTTTCAATAAGAGTTAATGAAACAAAATATTATGATAAAACATGTCAATGTTAGGGAATTGAATGCACTCTTAACTGTATCAGGAGTAATACTTTAATGAATGCATTGTTTTGCCTCATTTGATATTACTTATTAAACACCTACTGAGAGTGTGTAAGTCCTAAAACAGGTGTCTTTGATAAACATGAAGAAGCCATAAAGCTAGAGGCTGTTGAAAAGAACTATGAGAGAAAACACTGTAGTTGATAGGATGAAATCCATCTATTCATTAAATAAATAAATCATTCACTGATTAACCATCTATTCATTTGCTAAATAATTCATTCACTGGTCTGTTTATCTATTAAATGAACAGTTCACTTGTCATCCGTGTATTAATTAGTTAACATGCTCACTGAGTGCCAATAAGCCAGGCACTGTGAGAGTTGAGGGATACAGGTATAAACTTGCCATGGGAACTTTCATTGAAGAGCTCAGAGTAGGAGAAACAGTCATATGTATGACATATACTTTAAACAGTAAGAATAAATACCTTAAAGCATTAATGGTTCAAAGTCAATACCAGTAAAACTGCTTTAAATAGTAAGAATAAATATGTTGCACTAGGAGTTGTCACCAAAAGGAGGGGGACTCCAAACGGGGAAATTAAAGTCAATGGGAAGGAAGATGCTCACTGTGTCAACAACATGGGAAGGATGCTGAGGGAGGCATTATCACAGACACTACCTGTGTACAAGGTGTGGAAGGGGGATAGTATCTACTCAATCTGAGGCTACTCTCAGGTTTTTGAAGTGTAGGCTACTAAAAGTGCAGAGGCAGCTAAGTTGGAAATAAAGGTTTGGATCCAACTGTGCCTTGCAAGAGAATTTAAATTCCTCCCTTTTGACTCTGTGAGATCCCAGTGGTTTGAATATAAGGAAATGGTGTGGATAGATTGAGGAGACACTGACACAAGGGATCCAGGAAAGAGGCAGCAATCACAGAGCAGAGTCACCTGTGTGTCTTCCTTTGGAGGGCATGGCTTCCTGGATATCACTGTAATAGGCTTCAAAATCTATGTGAAAGGACAAAATCAAAATATTACATTGCAAATCACAGATACCCCTGACACTGTCAGTTCCCCCGATGGACCCTAAATACAGCCTTTGCTCTATTTCTACAGTCCACACATAGCTTCATGGGTTACAAAGTTCCCTCAATGGCAGGTTTTCACTGCAGTATCCTGACAGTGGGGAATCCAACTGTCATTACTTTCCAAAAGGAGCTGGAGTTCCAATAGGAATGTGGCCTTCCAAAGTCAACCCATCTAATAAGTACAGAGTCAAGGCTCAAGGTCTCTCTTAAGCGTGCTTGTATGTTGTTTCAGAGAATACTCGCTAGAGTGTTAGAAGGAAACAAATAGCCACAAGGACATCCTGCTTCCAATGTCACTTTTCTGTCCCTGAAGTCATTCACTCTAAAGTTTGAACAAATCAGAGAACCCCTCCTGCCAGCTGACAGAGACTGGAAACCTCGAATGAAAGACCTGTTGCAGGGCATATAAGGGCCTGAACATGGAGTCTAAATTGAATGGTGTCATAGAGCAGGGGAGTGCAGGTCAAGGACAGAACTTTTCTCACTGACAATTAACTTTTCTCTCATGCATTGGGCACAAAAATAGTTTTTGTGCAACCTAAAAACCAATGACAAAGGAAACATTTATCCTTAAGGAAGGATAAAGGGATGGAGAAGCTGGTGTGTATAACATGTTTATTACAGCCCAGACCCAATACATATTTCCAGATTAGAGAAAAGGAAACAAATTTGGGGAGCATCAAACACCCAGCAAGTGGCAGGTGCTAGTAAAAATTGCTTGTGGATGTGATTTCACCCATCAACCACCAGATCCCGCCCTTACCAAGGTAGTCTCAGTGACCAAACAAAAGTGACACCATGCAGGGAAGGGTGTATAAAAGTGAGTAGAAGGGCTGGAGGGGGAGTGGCAGGGCACCTGGGGCTCCCCATGGGGAGGTAAGAATAAGGGATGGAGACTGTGGTGTCACTAGCAGCAGAGACTTGGTACATACCACCCATGGTCTCTGTGGGGGCACTCCCTGAAGTTGCAAGGGTGGGCTGGTCTGGTGTCTTTGGCAACAGCTCCCAGGGAGGCAGCACTGTGACATCTGCCCTGTTTGGTTCCTTGAACAGTGGGTGTATCTCTGACAACTTGGAAACAGACCCAAGTCCTGAGGACCCCAGATGTCCCACGGTTCTACAAAACGGAACTTAGACAAACATTTGCCATTAAATTTAACATTAATATTGAATAAACTATTAAGTATTAAAAATTTGAAAAAAAAGTACATCTGTTTTAAAAAACATTCTACACAAAGAAATGGAAAGATATCCTGAGTTCATGGGTATGAAGAATTATCATTAAAAAAATGGCCATATTACCCAGAGCAATTTACAGATTTAAAGCAATACTTACTAAAATACAAATGAGTTTTTTTTTTTTAGGAGAGTTGAAAGAATTGAAATCCCAGAGAAAAATCCACATAAATATGGACAGTTAAGTTTTGCCAAAGGAGCCACAACCCCACAACTGAGAAAAAATAGCCCTTTTAATAAATGGCACAGGGAAACATGGATAGCAACATGCAAAAAAATAAATAAATAAACAAAGCAAGACACACATTCAGCATCATACTCAAAATATTCACTCAGAATGGATTAATGACTTGGACATAAGAACCAAAATCATAAAGTACTTGAAAGAAAACCTAAGGCACACGCTACAGGACATCTACCCCAAAGATGTATTTGGGAATACAACCCCAGAAACAAGGGAAACAAAAGCAAAAATAAACAAGTGGGACTATAGCAAACTTAAAAGTTCTGTCCTGAAAAAGTTCCGTCCTACAAAAACGAAAGGACAACCTACAGAATAAGGGAAAAAATTGCATGGCACACATCTATCAAGTAGTTAATCTATAAAACTTATAAAGTACTTACATAATACAGCAACAAAGAAACAAATGAACCAATTTTTAAAAATAGGCAAAAGACCTCAATAAACATTTCTCTAAAAAGGACATTCAGATGGCCTATAGACATATGAGAAAAGTGTTCAGCATCACTTATTATAAATTAAAACCACACTGAGATGCCACTTCACCTCTGTGAGAATGGAGCTCTCATCCACTGCTGGTGTGAATGAAAACTACTATATCCCCTGTGGAAAATAATATGGAGATTCCACAAGAAAATAAAAATGGAAATTCCATTGACCTAGCAATGCCATTGCTAAGTATCTGTCCGTATAATATGAAAAATCTAATACGAAAATTTCTACCCACATCTATGTACAGAGCAGCACTTTTCATGATTGTAAAATCATGGAAGCAACCCAAGTGCCCTTCAACAGACGAATGGAAACTGTGGAGCATATATCAAATGGGATATTATACAGCTGTGAAAAAATGAAACAGTGGTATTTGGAACAAAATGAATGGACCTTGAAGGGATTATGATGACCGAATCAGTCAAAAAATGAAAGACAGATTTCAGATGGTTTCACTCACGTACGGAATAAAAATACCAAAGAAAACAATCATAAGCAAACAATAAAAGGAATAAAAAATTGAACTCGGCAAAAACAAGATAATGGTTACCAAAAGGAATAGGGGAAAGGAGGAGGGGTGGGAAGGGAGGTAGATAGGCTATGGGCATGGGTGGTTTTGTGGAGGGTTTAAAGAAATAATTAGTCAAAATAAAGGCTTAAAAAAAGGACACAGACTTAGAGAAGTTAAATAACTTAAGAATCACATATTTGTTAAACTGTAGACACTGAGGTAAAAACTCAATTGTGATTTCCAAGTACAGGGTTTTTCACTCCCTGCTGGAAGCCACATAGCTGTGTACTGGAGATGAATATTATACATATCATGTTTGGAATGTCTGCCTTGCTTTTGGTTGCCACATGGACTGTATTTATTTTACTCTGTCAGAGTTCAACCACTTCCATGAAGGTTTCCTAGACTAGATAAAACAAAGCTGAACATTTATATAAGTATATGACATGAATACTACTTGTACATATCTCTGCTATTTTGGGAAGTGCCAGGATCTGCTTGGATCTGAGAGTCAGGAAGAAAATGGGTTAGACAGAGAGACTATGGAGTTGAATATATTTAAGTAGCATTTGGTGTACTAAATTATAAATTCACTGAGGCTTGGTATGCATTGTTTCTAGAGCTTATAACTATCATTGCCTGTGAGCTATATAACTGTACTAGAACAGGAGCTATCTCTTGTGAATCTTTAAGGAAAGGAAGGACAGAGGAAGGAAGGTAGGAAGGAAGAGAGGGAGGGAATAAACATTAACATTCTACAGATTACATAAGCATACTCCATTTTAAATAAATCTCACATAGGGAAAGCAAAATGGTCCAACTGCAATGGAAAGTTGCGTGGAGGACACTCAAATTACTAAAAATGGATTTACATGTGACCCAGAAATTCCACTCCTAGGAGTCTACCCAAGGGATACAAAAACATTAATTCAAAAGGAAAACTTCACTCCTATGTTTATTGCAGCACTATTTACAATAGGCAAGATAAGGAAACAACATAAAGGCCCCAAAACAGATGACTGGATCAAGAAAATGTGGTAGGTAGGTATGTCCCTTGTATTCTGAGAGTTTCAAGGGCCTTTATCATAAATGGGTGTTGCACTTTGTCGAAAGCTTTCTCAGCATCTATTGATATTATCATATGGTTTTTACATTTTTTTTGTTGATGTGTTGGATAATCTTGATTGATTTTCAGATGCTGAACCATCCTTGCATCCCTGTAATAAATCCTACTTGGTCATGGTGAATTATCTTATGGATACATTGTTGGATTCTGTTAGCTAAAATTTTATTGAGGATGTTTGCATCAGTGTTCATTAGAGAGATTGGCCTGTAGTTTTCTTTCTTTTTTTTTTTTTTTGTGCTGTCCTTGTTTGGTTTTGGTATTAGTGTAATGTTGGCTTCATAGAATGTGTTTGGTATTATCCCTTCCTTATCAAATTTTTTAAAGAGTTTGTGAAGGACAGGCGCTAGTTTGTTTCTGAATGTTTGGTAGAATTCATTTGTAAACCCATCTGGTCCTGGACTTTTGTTTTTGGGGAGGGTTTTGATTGCCATTTCAATTTCACTGCTTGTAATCAGGCTCTTTAGGTTTTCTATTTCTCCTTTATCTAGCTTTGGGTGATGCTAAAGTTGTAGGAATTTGTCCATCTCTTCTAGATTGTTGAACTTGTTTGCATATAACTGTTCATAGTAGTTTCTGATTATTCTTTTCATTTCTGCTGTGTCTGCTATGATTTCTCCTCTTTCATTTGTGATCCTATTTATTTGTGTTTGCTCCCATTTTTCCTTTGTGAGCCTGGCTAGAGGTATGTCTATTTTATTTATTGTTTCGAAGAAGCAGCTTTTGGTTTCATAGATCTTTTGGATTGTTTTTTCAGTTTTGATTCATTTATTTCTGCTTTGTTTTTTATTATGTCCTTTCTTCTACTGGTTTTACTTTTTTTTTTTTTTGCTCTTTTTCTACTTCTTTGAGATGTGATATTAGGTTGTTTCTTTGAGTTTTTTCTTGTTCTTGAAATGAGCCTGTACTGCTATATATTTTCCTCTTATTACTGCTTTTGCTGCATCCCATACATTTAGGAAATTGGTGTTCTCCTTATCATTCAACTCAAAGTGTTTTTTAATTTCTGCTTCAATCTCCTCATTAGATCCAGTGGTTTTCCAGTAGTGTGGGTTTTAATCTCTATGAGGTAGGAGGGTTCTTTGACTTCTTTTTATAGTTTATTTCTAGTTTGATGCCTTCATGATCAGAGAAGATGGTTGGGAACAAGACAAGGATGTCCACTCTCACCACTGCTTTTCAATATAATACTAGAAGTCCTAGCCAGAGCAATAAGACAAGAGAAAGACATACAAGGAATCCAAATAGGGAAGGAAGTAATAAAACTATCACTATCTGCAGATGATATGATATTATACATAGAGAACACCAAAAACTCCACAGAAAAACTAATCAAACTAATTAATCAGTTTAGTAAAGTAGCAGGATACAAAATCAACATGCAAAAATCAATAGCTTTCCTATACAATAAACAATAAATCTGAAGAACAATAAATACAAACAATAAATCTGAAGAAGAAGAAGAAATCAAGAAAACCACCCCTTTTATTATTGAAACAAAAAAATTATCAAATGCTTGGGAATAAACTTAGCAAAAGAGGTAAAGGGCCAATACAAAGAAAACTATAAAACACTGTTAAAAGAAATAGAAGAAGACACAAAGAAATGGAAAGGCATCCCTTGCTCATGGATTGGAAGAATTAAGATTATCAAAATGGCCATCCTACCAAAAGCGATCTACAGATTCAATGATACTCCAATAAAAATTTCAATGACATTCTTCAAATAAATAGAACAAATATTGATGAAATTCATATGGAGCCAACCAAAACCCTGAATAGTCAAAGCACTCCTGAAAAAAAAAAAAAAAAAAAAAAGAAGGGAATGGAGGTATCACACTCCCAGACTTCAAACTATACTATAAAGCCATAATAATCAAAAACTACATGGTATTGGCACAAGAATAGACACATGGACCAATGTCACCAAAAAGAAAATCCAGAAACAAATCCACAGATTTACGGTCAAATAATCTTTGACAAAGGAGCAAAGAATATGCAATGGAGCAAAGAAAATTTGTTCAATAAATGGTGCTGGGAAATCTGGGTCACTACATGCAAAAGAATGAAGCTTGACTACTACCTCACACCATGTACAAAAAACAACTCAAAATGGATTAAAGAACTAGACATAAGAACTGAAACCATAAAATACATAGAAGGAAATATAGGCAAAACACTACATGACATGCACCTCAGTAACATCTGCAAAGACACATCACCCAAAGCACTGATAGTGAAGACAAAGATAAACAGCTGGGACTACATCAAATTAAAGAACTTTTGTATAGCAATAGAGACAGTAACCCAAACAAAGAGCTACCCCACCAATTGGGAAAAAATTTTTGCACACAACACTAATGATAAAGAACTGTTCACAAAAATCTACGAAGAGCTGGTGATACTCAACAAAAACAAAGTAAGCTACCCAGTCAAAAAATTGGCAGAAGAGCTAAAAAGAAACTTCTCCAAAGAGGAAATGCAAATGGCCAACAGGCATACGAAAAAAAGTTCAACATCACTTGTAATCAGGGAAATGCAAATCAAACTGCAATAAGATACCATCTTACACCAGTGAGAGTGGCACATATTAAAAAACTAGCAACAACAAATGTTAGTGAGGATGTGGAGAAAAAGGAACTCTCCTGTGCTGCTGGTGGGAGTGCAAATTGGCCCAACCACTATGGAAAGCTGTGTGGAGTTTCGTCAGTCTGCTAAAGATAGAGTTTCCATATGATTCAGCAATTCCATTCCTAGATATTTACCCAAAGGACACAGAAACATTAATTCAAAAGGGCACCTGCACCCCTATGTTTATAGCATCACTATTTACAATAGGTAAGCTTTGGAAACAACCCAAATGCCCAAAAATAGATTAACGGATCAAGATGTGGTATATATACACAATGGAATATTACTCAGCAAACAAAAAGATAAACTCATGCCATTTGAGGCAACACGAATGGAGCTGGAAGGGATCATGCTCAGTGAAATAAGCCAGAAAGAAAAAGAAAAATACCAGATGGTCTCACTCATAGCAGGAATTTAGAAAACCTAAATAAGGGACCAGGAAAAAGGCTAATTATAATAAAGTAAAAATCAAAATCCACAAGCAACTATAAACCAGAGACACACTACGGGGGTGGGTGGGAGAAGGGAGTAGGATCAAAACTAGGGTGGTGGGAATTGTATGGGGACTATAACCAAGATGAAAATGCATATATTATGCAAAAATACATAAAAATTTAAAAAAAGAAGGTGTGGTATAGATACACAATGGAATACAAACAGCAATAAAAAAAGATTAACTCATGCCATTCACAGCAACATGGAGGGGCTGGAAGTGATTATGCTCAGTGAAATAAGTCAGAAGAAAATAGAAAAATATCGAATAGTTTCACTTTTAGGAGGAATCTAGGGAAACTGAACAAGGGGTCAGGAAAAAAAGACAAAACTGGCAGACAAACTATAAATATGAGACCCACCGCAGAGGGTGGGTGGAGAGAGGTGTCAAAATGGGAGGGAAGAGCACAAGAGACTGTAGTGACTGTTCATGCGTGATTTGGTTTTGGAAATTTTATGAGTATATTATACCAGAGGGGAGAAATCAAACAGCAAAATGAACAATGATATTAAATAAATAAAACAAAGTAAAAAACAAAACAAGTCTCACATATATTTGAGAACTATACCCATAAAATGAGTGCCAGAGTGACATGCAGATCAACCAGGAGCAGACACGGGTTTGCAAAACCTTGTCACCAGGACTTTGGTTCTGCCCAACTCTTAGACTCTTTGACATGGGTTACACATGCATAGTCTACAAACAATCTGGGTGCATGGCAGTTCTCCTAATTTTAACACCTATCAGTACACATCTAGTGTAACAATTCTAAACACTGTTGTTAGAATTTATGATCAAAGAACAATAACAAAGAAACAGTTGCAAGAACATAAGAAATGACATCTTAATAAGCTTTTACATTCCCATGAGAAAGTCAGATCCTTTAATAATAAATGTTGAGCCACAACAATCCTGGGAAAATCATCTGATTTGCTGAAAGTTTTACCACTGGGTATGTTTGCACTGTAAGCTTCTTTAGTATATTCAGCATAAGCTTGGAGTCAGGAAGATTCAATTTACTTAAGGAATGTGAGAATGCCTTCCTGGCAGAGAGGGCACAATAGCTTTCTCTGTCTTTAGGTTCCTTCACCACCAAGGTAAGCTGGAAGCTCTACTTATGCCTTGTATGGCCTATTCAATGGATACAAATAAAAACATGCCCAAGGTCCCTGAGGGTTTGGCATAAGCTTCTGTTGGTTGGGTCCAACTAGAAATAAGGGTTTCTGTATCTGCTATTTAGAATGAGATCTCTCATCACAAATGTCACCAGTGAGAATCAGTTTTACCTCAGGTTCAAACCTAGTGGCCAACATGCCCATCCCCAGTGCCCTGAGTTCACATGTGATTTTACTTAGCCTCACCAAAACTTTTCACTGGAAAGTGCTACACTCCACACTTTTCACCCAAGAAAACTGAGGGAAGTGCTTGAAGTCATGGCTTATGGTGTAGATGGAAGGTGGGAACCAGGCCTTCCTCCCAGCTCCTCAGCCACCTTACACAGAGCCACTACCAGAGGAGCTAGCTAGAGATGGGAGGGACAAGGTCCCTGGAGCAGTGAACTAATCCTGCATCATTTCAAATGGCCACCACTGCTCAGTGATACTGAGTCCTCCTCCCAGATGGCAATAAATTTGAGAAGCAGCGAGTGAACACATCGTTTCTACTGCTGTCGCTGTAGAAGTGTAAAAGCAAGAGGACACTGGAACAAATCAATGGACAAGACAAATAAATCGGACTTCTCAAACTGTTAGCCATCTCAGAAAACACCCACCTTTGTCCTCTTAATAAAACAAAGTAACAATAATCTTTACCTTCTAGACTATTCTTTTCTGTTGCGTTGACTAAAAAGAGATCCCAGGAGTATGAGAGATTCAACATTCCATCACAGGCTTCACACTCAGCTTGGAAAGAAAGTTCTTCATTCCAGCCAACAAAGATGTCTTTAAAGTTGACCCGAGAGATGTGGATAAATCTGGAACAATCGAGTCGGGTTTGATAATGTAGGAAGATAATGTGAGGTTTCTCTGGCAGCATTATTCAAGTTAGGCGTGTTGATATAGCTGAGCCTTGTCCAGACAGCAGTGTCATGGAGACATGCCTGAGCACTGTGGAGTGACCAAGCCTGGCCTCTTCCACACTGCATGTCCTTCCCTGACAAGATGCCAGGCCTTGAGGCAGCACAGGCACAAATGCACTGGGCACACAGAGCTAGAGGAGAGCTGCGCCTGACTCCTGGTGGTGTGGTCCTGAGTCAGGCCCTCTTCCCTCAGGCCTGCATCCACATGGCTTCCTAATTCTTCACTCCTTTTTGCTTACCCGGCACTCTCTAAAGTTCCTTTTGAGGAATACCATACTTTAGGATATAATTCAGCTGTCTGGACTGTTATGTTAGTCCTGACTCTGGATGTCTTTCCTATGGGCCTTAGGGAGCCTTTAGAAGGTCAAGGTTGGAAAAACTTTCCGCGTGGGGGCAGGGTATATACAGGCACTTCGCACGTGGCGGACCATGCTCAATCACATCAATGCTGCCTCCACACATGGCTTCCAGGCAGGATACCATGGCCCATGGGGCACACAGCCATTGCATGACTCCGGATTGACCCCTCCTGGTGTGCACACATGCAAGTGTGTTTGTGTGTGGGTGTCCCTGTGTGTGTGTGTGTGTGTGTGTGTGTGTGTGTTTCTCTCCACGTATGGTATGTGTGTGGAGGTGGAGTGGGATAGGGATGAGGAGCCACGGAGAGGCCATTTGACCTCAGACCTCCCAGGAATATTGTCAACACAAGCTCAAATAATTCCTGACAGTGCTGACAGAAAATAACCTTTAGTATACAGTGAATGAATATTTTCAAATGAATTTTGCGATTATCATGTGAGTGGACAAATGATATGGTGCATTGTGTTTTTGGAATAAAAACATCTAATTTGTTAAATATAATCATTTCGATTATGTGTTAATGTTTGCTGCCACTGGTTGGGCACTGGGCACAAGAGTGCAACCTGGAGGACTTGTATAGGGGGAATGCAGGCAGGTGGTACCTGAGCACTGGGTCTGAGCGGGTAGACAGGAACACCTGTGCCTCCGAGGAGTTCCGGACATTGCTGGACACTGTCAGTGTCACTAGAAACTGGTCGAAGCTGTCACTGAGAGAGTTCGCTGCAAAGACCAGGATGGGAGCACTGGTGTCTAGGCAACATGGAGAGGAAGGTGCAAAACAGGGATGCCCAAGCATGCTGGCCACTGTGCATTTCCAGTGATACCTGTGGAGAGGCCAAGGGAGACATTGATGCCACTTCTGGCCAGTTAGGTGACCATATGGTCGCAGGCTTGTTTTTCTATTACCTGATGTAAGAGTGGTGGGGGCAGCACCACTACCTTGGGGCTGGGTCTGTCCTACCATTTCATTTGCTTAGGGTTCTGGAGCCCTGGCACACCCTGCTTCCAGGCCACCCTGTGCTTCCCACCCCCTGGGCAGCCAGCTGCCCTCACTCCTGTGAGGTGCCTAAGTCCCATCTCTGCTCGCATCTGCACACAGCCATGGGAGTAGTGTTTCACAAGCTACTCTCATCCTTGCAGTTCCACAGGCCACATAGGGCCACATCACCTGTTTTAGGAAGGAAACACATTCCTAGGGCCTTGGGAAGTTGCCAGTTCCAGAAGTGGACTGACCAGGAGGTGAAGTCGTTGCTTTACCTCCCAACCTCACAATCCTCTGCAGTGTGATAATTGCTGTGATCACCAATCAAGAAGACCATAGCACCCACAGGCGTCAGTGGGTTTTACTCTAGTGGGGACACACACTGCAAGAAACACCCCCATGTAGGAAGAAGCTAGGGAAGGCTCCTGTGCTGATCCTACAGCAGTGAGCCGCACAAAAGTGCCACACAGCCTTTGAAGTTCATTTTCAAAGTTTCATTTTCCGATGTGGATTGTAAGGAACTTGAACCCTGGTATGAGGTCTAAACCTCTCTGTGTTCAAAGTCTGTGGGAGGTGGCAGCACTTCAAAGCCCTGTTCCCGTTAGTTCCCCAGCTGAGTGGAGTGTAGCCGCCCAGCCTCCTCCTCCAGTAGGCAGCTCACTCATGTACAGAGCAACCTTCTCTACTGAGATGGTGGAGAAGCTGAGACTGTATTCACTCTCAGGGAGCAGACTCAGCTTGTTTCAACAGACACACCCTGAGCTCTTGTTAGGGGGTATCTTATTGGATGTCTGGGATGGATAGGGGAGGCAGAGATAAATAAGACATGCCTTCTACCTCCTGGAGGGCTCAGCCTATGTGTGAAAATGGCTAATGGGAGGAGGTAGGGAGTCTGAGAGTTCAAACCTCTCATTTCCACCTGGCTAGTGAAACCCCAAGACCATATTTGGAATGCAGAAATTATGCATGTGATCCAGTGACTAAGAGAACAAGGGGGTCTCAAATATTCACTGACTATCACATTCCAGGTACAAGGGATACAGTCCTGCTCCCTGGAACTTATATCCCAGTGGGGGATAGATGATAAAAGTAAGGGAGCAAATTATTGGAAGTTAGAGGGAGGAGGATGCTGTGGGGAATGAAACAGCAGAATCAAGATAGGACTGTTGTTACTTTAGTGTTTCATAAGTGTGACTCCCCTGGGAAGGTGAAGTTTGCAAAAGGATGAAGTGGAAGATGATAACAGGTAAACTGAGGAAGGTGGTGCAGGGGTACTGAGGCAGAAGCCCACCTGGGACTTCCAAGGGCTGCCGCCATGGAAAGAAAGTTCAGGGTGACATGGAGTCCAGTCAGATTGAGCCTCAGAGGCACTGTTGACAGACTTTCACTGAGGGGAAAGGCAGTGATAGAGGATTTGAGTCATGAAATGTTTTCTGACTTACTTTAGACTCATCTAAATGCTATGGAGAACTGACTGAAGGGTATGGGTAGAGGCTTGGAGGTAGTGAGGAGACCTTTAAGCAGGTAAACTGAAGTGGTGGCAGCTCAGATTAGGACAGAGCCAACAAGATTTCCTGACAAACAGATGGGAAGTTAGAAAGAAAAAGAGAAACCAATCATGCTGCTAAGGATTTTGTCCTGAGCAACTAGAAGGGTCCTTCCTTCAGCAAAGACAGGAAGACTGCATGGAGGTAGGTTTCATGCTCATGTGCCAGTAGACACATGATGGATTTGCTGAGGAGACTCCAGATCTGGAGTCCAGAAGGAGGTCTGAATGAGGGATTCATCCTCATCATTATTGGTGCATGGATGGTGTCCCTGGAGAATATATACTCCAGGTTATGGTGTATGGATGATCCACAGAGATATGTGTTCCAGGTTATGGTGTGTTGATGGTGTCCATGGAAGATATGGTTTCCAGGCTACTATGCATGTATGGTGTCTTTGACAGTATACTTTATGAGGCCACCAGGGGAGGGAGTGTGGATAGAGAAGAAGACAGAGCAAAGAATTTCAAAATCAAGGGACTCACCCACTTAGAAATGCTCAGTGATCAGAAATCAAGCCTCCTACACACCAACTGCATCATACAAATCGAGAATTTTAAAAATAAAGTAACATACTTATTATTGGCTGAATAGCTATGTGCCCTCAGTTGTCAACAAATTCAACTCTCATTGAAATACCAAAATCCCCAAAGTGGTGGTGTTTCGAGGTTGGTCTTAAGTGGGTGATTAAGTCGTAAGAGCAGAGTTCTCAAGAGTGGTATCAATGTCCTTATAAAAGAGACTGCACAGAGCTCCCTTTTCTCTTTTTGCCATGTGAAGACACTGAAAATACAACATCTATGAACTAGGAAGCACTGAAGACACTGAATCTTCTGGCACCTTGGTCTTGAATTTCTAGCTGTCAGAACTGTAAGACATTAAATGTCTGTTATTCGTAAGTCTCCGAGACTGCAGTAGTTTAGTATGGCAGCCTGCACAGACTACTAGTTAAACTTCATATTGCAAAATACATAATATCAAATTATAAAGCTACTCATGCTTTATTTCTACTCCTTTCCTAGATTCTCTTATATTTTGATCTCCAAAGAAACATTAGTTAAACTAATAAAAGCTGAGGTATATTGTATATATATACATATATATACACACATACATACATACATATATACATATACACTTATAGATATATAAAACAATCATATCAAAATTCTATGAATGAATGTCCCAACTTTCCAGACCTTGAGTTTGGAGGAGGCAGAGGACAGAGAGAAAGGCACATGTTGAGAATGGGTGGTGGCAGCCCCTCGTTGCTTACCTGAGAATGGCCCCAGGAATGTCCGGGTCATAAGACTGGGACCCCCTGAGGACAATGGTGGAGGACCTAGTCCTGGAGACAAACAGGTGTGTGCCCTCAGAAATCACGCTGACAGGGGCCTGGGATCGTACCTCCACCCCCACAGAGTAGTTACTGTACACAATGCTGCCTTCCACCTGGACCTGTAATGCCAATGACAGGGGTGTCACTGTGGGGCCTGGCAAGATGGCCCAAGGAAGTGGACTCTCAGGTTAAACTAAGAAGGAAACTGATGACCCTAAGTGCACCATTGGCCCTAACTAAAGGTTTCAAGAGCTGCACAGCAAGATAATTCCTTCCAACCCCCAACCAGTTACCTTTGTGAAAATAAAGGTCCTATTGTGTGCCCATTGGAGACAAAGTGGTTAGAGTCAGTGAAACTGGGAACACTTTCCTAACCAGGTATCTATGAACACAAGACTGGGGGTTTATAGATTTGTGAAGATAACACTTCAAGTGATAATTCCCCAGATGCTCTGTGACAACAATGGTTACCACAGCCTTGGATTTCATCATTTCATTTCATCAAAAGCATGGCATTTCATCAAAAGCCATGTCACCCTTTTCGCAACACCTCTCTAACCCCCAAATACAGTATGGACTTTAGGGAAAGTAAAATGCAACTGAAGAAAAACTTAGGAATAGAATAGTCCACCTGGAAATTCCATCCTAGACCATCTAGGTCCATTCCCTACATGCTCTGCTCACATCCCATCACAGAATCCTGAGCTTCTCCTTGGTCTTGACCAAGCTGCCTCTCCCTTACTCACTTCTAAGTATGTGATGCTAACTTATCTAGAGAGGACCTCTCCCTCCTTGTAACCACATATTGTCTTCATATTTCCAGCTGAAAAACACTGCATACTTGGGGATGGTCACTACGATGAATATTTCATTGTCCTGCTTTCTGATGGACATCCCCATTCCTTTATTGGTGATAAGCACCTTGATGACACTTCCCCATCCTCTGATATCCCTGGGGCCATCACAGTGGTTTATTCAAAGCAGGTATGTAGGGCGGTTTTATTAAATGAGTAAGAAGGAGTTTTAATTGACTAATTTGCTAGTGTTTGAATATGCTATCTTCTCCCAAAGAAATTAAATATTTCTCTAGAAATTGTACCTTTTTTTTTTTTTTAACAATCCCTATCTTGTGGCTAGAACAGGTGTGGAGTGGCAGGTGCTGAACTCTTGCTCAAAAGCTGGTGAAAGTGACAGTTGTATAGTAAGCCCTAGCCCACCTTGGCCAGTGCAGTATAGTTCCCAGGTTCCAGAAAGTAGCTGGGTACAGTGATGGTCTGCCTGTGTGTCCTGACAGCAGGAGGCAAGGGTACCAGCCACCCTGCAGAGTTCCTGAAACTCCAGGTGTAGGAAATACCACTGGAAATATCACAGAGAACAGCAGCCTCAAATGTCACTCCTAGTTTTATAGGCTGAGACCTCCACACCTGCAGATTAAAAAGAAAAGTTGTCTCCTTAAAACTTTGTGACCAATACAACAGCAAATAATTAAAACTTCTTTTTTTAAAAGATTTATTTATTTTTACAAAAATCGGGGTATAGGCCAGATGTGCGGTAGGGTGAGAGGATTCACCAGAGACAGAGTGGGGAACAGAACAGGCAGACTGATGAAATACACTACTAAGGGGAGCAGCGGGCGAGACAGGTGATGTCTGCACTTCCATGTGGGACCCTCGCTGGCTGGCCGGAATAGAACTGGCACTGCAGAGGCTGCGGACAGCCTCACAGTGCTGTGCTCAACCGCCTGCGCCACCAGGGGAGGCCCAAAACTTATTCTTAACATAAGACTCAATTACTTATTTGTATAATAACAAGACAGAATTCTTAGATCTGGAATTTAAAGCACCAGAACAAATACTGCACCTACTTTATGAACAAAAGCACAAAATCAAAAAAATATAAAAGGAATAAATATTTTTACTTAATGTACTCATAGTGAGAGAAAAAATACCTTCTAACCTAAAGTTCATGGGAAAATGTCAACGGAAAAGTTTAAAGCTTTGAATATATAAAATTTTTAACTTATGAATGTCAAAAAATATTTATGATTAAGAGTAATAAACAGAGAAGTAATACCATTTGTAAAATATATTGCAAATTTATATCATTTAAAAATAAATGAAAAATTTTCAAACTCTCCAGTAGAAAAATAGCAAAGACTTGAATAGGTATGTCACAAAAATAAAATATAAATATTTTATAAATTTTATATACTTAAACTTATTGTATAAGTTTTATGTACTTAAAAATTACACTAGGGCCTCCCCTGGTGGCACAGGGGTTGAGTGCTGGGCTGCAAAGCTGCCGGCAGCCTCTGCAGTGCCGGCTTGATCCCCAGCCACCTGCGAGGGTCCCACATGGCGTGACAGACCTCTCCTGCTGCCCGCTGCCCCCCTCAGCAGTGTATTTCTTCGTCAGTCTGCCTGTTCTGCTCTCCACTCTGGCTCTGGTGAATTCTCTCACCCTCCCGTGCTTCTGACTGTACCCAGTGCTTGTATAAATAAATAAATAAATAAATAAATAAATAAATAAATAAATAAATAAATAAATAAATAAATAAATAAATAAATAAATCTTAAAAAAAAAATTACACTAAAAATCCCAATCTCTAATAATAAAAAATAAACTACAAAAAAGGAACATAACCATATTTCAAGCAAATAACAAAAAAGAAAAATGTCTTTCAAGTGACTTTGAAAGATGAGGTCATATTCTCAGGGCAAAAATAACTACAAATAACCCTCTTTAGTTGCCTAAGGGTTAAGTCTCAGCACTATCACCTCTATGGCCTGAGTTCAATCCCCGGCCAGGGAGCTGACCCAAATACGTCTTATCCTCTACTCCCCTCAGTGGTACATAGATCCCCTCCACTCTGTTCTGCTCTCCACTCTGTCTCTGGTGAATCCTCTCACCCCCTGCACCTATGGCCTACATCCCAGTTCTTCTATGCATAAATAAATCTTTAAAAAAAAAAAGACATACAAAACAAGTGTTGGTGAGGATGTGGAGGAAAATGAACATTTTTATACTGTTGTTGAGTATGTGAACTGGTGCAAAAAATAAGAAAAGCAATCTGAATTTACCATTCAAAACTAAAAATAGAAATATCATATGATCCAGCAAGCCCACTGTTGGGCATATATCTACAGAATATGAAACCATCAATGAAAAAAAAACAGGTTCCACAATGTTTTCAGCAGTATTATTACTTATAATAGCTAGGACATGGAAGCCACCTGAAAGTCTGATGCATGATTACATGAAGAAGATGTGGTATAGCCACACCAAAGAGTATGATATAGCCATACGAAAGGATGAAATGCAGCCATTTTCAACAAAATGGAGGGAATCTGAGAGAATTATGTGCAGAGAAGTCAGAAGAATAAAATCATATACTGGACAGTACATAACAATTCAGTAATGTTAAAACAAAAACCAGTGGACATCAATAAATGTCCTGGGGTTAAAAGGGAGAGGAGAAGGAATGGGACTAGAGGACACAGGGATGGTTGTGCGAAAAAACTAATATTCACGGGGAATTACTATTTTCTAAAAAAGAGTTTTTAATCATTTCAAACTTGCCTTTATCCCTTGATTTTTCAGATTGTTCGCTATGAGCACTGTCCTTTTATGTTTTGTCCCAAAGGTCATCAATTTTACAAGAAACTTTACAATGATTCTCAGGAATGGCTTATCACTTAGGATACTTTATTTTTCTCCCTTAAGAAACTTTTTTTTTGCATAAAAGAACTGAGGTGTAGGCCAGAGGTGTGGGAGGTGAGAATTCACCAGAGTAGGGAGCGGAACAGGACGATCTACTGAAATGCACTGCGGAGGGGAGCAGCGGGTAAGACAGGAGAGGTCTGCTGTGCCATGTGGGTCACCTCCCTGGCTGGGGATGAAAGTCAGGCTGTAGTGCTGACAGTGCTGAGACTTAACCCCTAGGTCACCAGGGAGGCCCCAACCTTAGGAAACTTCTAATAAAAAAAAAAAAATTAAAGACCTTGAGTTACCTATCCTTATAATTAAAAAATATAATTAAAATGAAAATGAAGGGGCCTCCATGGTGGTGCAGGCGGTTGAGTGCTGCGCTATGAAGCTGTCCACAGCCTCTGCAGCACGGGTTCGATCCCGGCCGACTGGTGAGAATCCCATATTGCAAAGCAGACCTCTCCTATCTCGCCCGCTTCTCCCCTCAGCAGTGTATTTCGTCAGTCTACCTGTTCTGTTCCCTGCTCTGTCTCCAGTGAATCCTCTCACCCTCCCACGCATTTGGCCTGTACCCTGGTTCTTGTATAAAAATAAATAAATCTTTAAAAAAATAAATAAAATGAAAACAATTGTTTACTTTGAAAAAATGACCCCAAATCACAGTAAATAGTTTGAACCATATGCCAGCATTGATTCTCAATCTTTTAACCCAGGAGAAAGCTGTGTCCTGTGGCTCAACCGAAGAGCAGCATCAGATTCAAGTTTAATCCTCCACCCTTGTCCTTACTACTCAGTTATTAATTAATTATTATTAATTATTATTATTATTAATTACAGTTATTAACCCTGGGTTCCTTGATTTGTTTTTGTGCCTCTCCCTGACCAGAGAACTCACTGTCCTGGGGCACAAGACTGCCATCACATCATGCCTGCTGACCTAGTGGGTATGTGTGGGTCTTGCTTGTAGGACTCTCACCCTCAATCTGGAGCCCACACAGCCAGCCCTGCACATGGGGTTCCCAGTGGCCACCAGACCTTTTGTCTGGGCTACCTGATTCCCATGACCACATCTGGAGCCAGAGTGTCCAACCCCAAGACTCCCAGGGGCCCAGAAATCCCAGAAAGCATTTTGGGAAAATCAGCCAAGTCACAGGTTTTTATTCCCATGTGCCATTTGCCACTTTGCCCTGAAAAATAGCATTTGCTCTAAATCAAAGGCCTCAAAGGAATAAAAGAAATGAAAAACAACTCTATTTTTCCCAACCCACGGTAGGTACTCAACAAATAAGTGAACATTTCTTTTCATTTTATCACATATATTCAAATACACCTTTCTCCTGAAAGCAATACAGTTCTTTTCACAAGGAATTAATTTTTTTTAATTGAAAAAAGCATAGTGTGAGTTGTGTTAATACCAACGTATCAGGAGAATAAAGACCAGATTCACACACCAGGAACCAGGCTTCTATCTGTGCTAGGGGCTCTAGAGAGGCTTTCCCTGCTCAGTTCATGCACCACCTCCAGCAGCCCTCACAGCTTTTGCTTCAAATGCAGCCTCATTCTCCAAAGTTTTCTTGTTCTGCACTGAATCTACCTGGGAGAAAAAGCTGGCATAAGCCTGATGAATGACTCCCAGGCCCATTCTTACCTGGATCCTCTCCGGCCCCATGTTTTTGACAGGGGGTGGCTGGCAGGGCTCCTGCACAATGAAAAGGTGTTTTCTGAGGGACACGGTGCTGACGTTGTTGAAAGCAAGGACCTCCACTGTGAATTCTCCTTCCCTGAAGGGGAACAACACAGAGAAGTTAAGAGACTGTTGTTGCTTTGTGTTCACCCTTCCCACTTCTCTTACCTTCCTAGACCTGTGCAATTCTAAGTTTAAGGTGGGAAGACAGCCCACAGGTGATAAGAGACTTGGCCCTGAGCTTGATTTCCACAGAGGCTCTTTGTCCCCCTAATAGAACACTGTTCATCCAGTGTGAGTCAGGACAGGTGGTGAAATCCCAGACCGATGTTGCTGCCATAGAAGAAACAATCTTCCATATCAGGTATTATTTTCCTCCTTGGGAAACCAGCCTGTGGTGATAGCTTGACGCACGCCCACCAAGGGAGACTGTGGGGCACCCTGCATGTGGGACATCCCTGACCCATGATATGGGATCTCAGCATGACCTTCTTGTTCTCTTTTCTGATCCATAGATCTTTTTTCCTATTGCACTTCTTAGGCTCAGGACAGTATCACAGCCTTGGAAGGGGCAGCAGTTTTTGCTATGGAGTGCTGTAAGGTCTGAGAGGGGTATGCCAAGTGGTTCCTGACCCAGCAGGTCATGCCTATTTTGCAAATGATGAAAATCAGACAACACATTCAAGACTTCTGAATATAAGACAACACAGTCCCCAGCAGAAGACCACAATTTGAGCTCAAGGATCAGACTATCAGTTGCTATCTGAGAGTGTCAGCAAAAATGGCAGGATCTACTGACCAGAGTGTGAGCTATGAAGTCCTTCTCAGGTTCTCCAGTGGTTGAAGAACCCTGAAACTCAAGAGAGCATGGAGGGGGCACAGAGCAGTCCATGTCCACAGGGCAAGAAAGGGCTCCCTGAGCTTCATGGCACATTCTCAGTTGTCCAGGCCTTAGGTGCCCACCTGAGAACCTTCCAGCCTGCCTGGGTACTGTCACTCAATTCCTTCTGAAAGGCACAAGCTATTCTAGTAGAGAAGCTATCAATCAAGAGCTAGTGATGAACAATTGCGATGCCCCTCAGGTCAAGGGATCACAGGTATGGAGCTATTGGTTCTTGTTAAGGGAATCCTGCACTGAAAGCCATCTGCAATCTTTCCTGATGCCCTGGGCCACCTGGGCTTCAATTTCTGGATAATTTTGCACACTAGTACAAATGGCTCATCTGGCCTGAGGCTCAGCCTAGACAGAGCAGCCACTGTTAGGACTGGCTCCATTCCAGGACTAATCCCTACCAGGGAGGGCAGTTAAGCAGCAATGGCCAGGCGGCCCAGACTGGGATCAGGTGACCTTGACTGGTCTGCATTTCAGCACCTCTGAACCTTGAGAGGTGGTGATTTGGTGTATAGCTATGTTTCCTGCAGACATGCCCATCTCCAGAGAAATGTAATGACTATTTCGGATAAAGACAGGCTACACACTTTCATGGTCCTCCACAATGTTTCATCTGGGTAAACAGAGGGTGCAAGACAAATGCTAAACTCTTCAGAATTACCAAAGACCCTTATAACTTTCCCCAGAAACTTTATCTGCCACCCTCCACTCTCATTCCACATTCCTAGCATCATGACAGTTATTCCAAGTCTTGCCAGGTGTGGCTAGTGGGTTTCAGTGTATCCCCTTGGGCCATTGCCTAAGCTCCCTTTGGCAAACACCTGATCAAGAGTTCATGTCTAGTGCACCATGTGGATGCCACAGTGAGCTGGTTGCCCAGCTTTCCAAAGAAGAATGAACTGTTCTGTGCAACTCCTCTTTTGTAGCACAAACCTGTCTGATTCCCCAATTGCCACCCCCAGACCATGGGTTCCTGAAGAACAACAATTGGGTTTTGATTTTCTCTTTTGAATATCTGTCATCTGCAACTGGAAGGCAGGTAGTGTGGAGACCCAAGGGCTGACACCTGGAAAAGCCCATTCTAGCCATGGTCTGCAGTTTCACCTGTGCCCAGAGTGATGTACCTGCTATAGACATGACTGGTGGAGCTGCTCCCCAGGCTGACAACACCATCGCCAAAGTTCCACAGGTAAGCCACATCAGTGCCAAAGTTGATTCTGCACTCAAAGGTCACACTGGCATTCACTAATGCTGACGAGGTGGATACCAGTCGGTTGGCAACGATTCTCTTCTGTACTCTGATGTGACGGGGCTCCGAAACCGTACTGCTGACCCCGTTGGAGGCCCTGACCATCACAAGATACCTGGGGGAGGGGGTGTGAAGGCAGATGGAAAGGATGGAATAAGGTGGAGAGATTGTATACTGTTCACATGACTTCGCAGGAAAGGCAGGGGTCACAGTGGAAGGGGAGAGCTCATTGGTATTTCACTTGAAGGAATTATAGAACCCAATGATTTCCATCCTACTGGGGAAAATGAAGAATACTTTCTGACCCACCCTTCTTCTTAATTTAATTAAACTCTCAGAGCTGTGAGGTAGCACTGTTACTCTGCCTTAGATGAGGTATTTGCTTAGGTCACATTGGTGGCAGAGATGGGATCTGAATCTAGGATTGTCTAATTTCAAAGCCTCACCCTTCTACCTAGTTCAGGCTGAAGAGACTGAGTCTTCTTTCCTAAATCTACACACTCCATTCACAAAAGTGCTTGGTGGCACTGAGTGTGAGTGTGACACCTTAGGTTATTTTAGTGGTAGCACGGGAATCCTCACCCTGAGCTAAGCAGCTACCCATCACAACAATCAATTTTACAGACCACTTGGGAATGCTGAATCTTTTCTTGATGTTGCTTGTAGTTGTCCTCACTGGTGGACCATTTCCAAAATACCACAAGAACTCCAGGCGAGTTGTTTCCTTGGTGATAGCTGTGAAAGTGATGTCAGTGTCTGCAGCAAACACAGTTCCAAGTGTGTAGACAGAGACAGCTGTGACAAAGGGAAGGGAGGTGAATGTTTCAGCAAAGACGGCCTGAGAAGTTAGCCCCTCACCTTCCCATTCATTTGTGTTGTGTGTGAGCATGAGGACATCCAATAGGAATGTGCACAGGGCTGCAGTGGTAGAAATCTAGGTAAATCGGGCTCAAGACCAAAGGCCATCAAAGCATAGCTCTCATAAAGTGCTAAGGCTGTCTACTTTGGGGTTTAATTGAAAAGATAAGGTATGAGGGAACTGGTAAATGAAACTGTAAGTGAACCCACTTTTTTATACATTTACATTGAAACCTTGATATATATGATTTCTATAAAAGTCCTAGAATGAATAGCAGATGAATACAGAGCTAATTTCAAGGGAAAATAGACTTAGAAGAGCTCCTCACAGAACCTGGTGGGTTTACAGTCTTTGTCATCTCAACTGGCTGACTGAAGAAGATTTCATTAAATCTAGATTTAGTGTTTATACTTACGTTGCATCTGATACCAAACAGTCATGCCGGACCAAGCCTGACTGTCACCCCCTTGGGTCTGAGATCTAAAGGACACATTATAGGAAGAAATGGATGGGAAATGATGCATTACAACAGTACCTGAAATGAAAGAAACAAGGCTAAGGGGAAATCATCTTAAAGTGAATTCACTCATCTCATATAGTACATGGTCAATATTTTCCCAACTTTTACTTTCTGTCCTTGAATGCCAATAAATTTTAAAACTTATTGTTTTGAAATCAGACTGACCTAGGAAACATAGACTTTGTCACAATTTATCTCATTAAAATTTTCTCTAAACATTTCCTCTATCTCTCCCAAGACTTTACATAGGGAGTAGGTTTGTTTTTGAAGTATGTTAATTACTTTGGTAGATGACTTGCTTTTAAAGGATTTCTCTAATGTGTGCACTAGGCAGACTTTCATGTGCAGTGGTTCTAAACAGAGCACATCAGGAAGCCTCAAACTTAAATCCTGTGAAACACAATGCTAAATGTTGCACATATATGTGCATACCAACACACACATGCACACATACATGCATATAGCTGGAAGACAGATACCAAGTATCTGGGCAGACTCTAGAAGAACTAGGGCATCTAGGAAGATGTAGAATGACTCATTTATCAGAAACGGATGTTAACAAAGGAAATAGGTTGTAAAAAATGATTTTATTGTTGTTCTACAATATTTCTCTTTATAAAGAGAAAATTATATAATTTTTTATTTATGTTTATAAAATTATATATAAAGAGAAAATTTCTCTTTATAAAGAGAAAATGCTCATTTATAACAGTGATAAGATAGAATGGATATTTTGCTCTTCATCAGTACATGAGAATTTCTGAAAATTAAACATCCCATCAATAAGAGTGATATCATATCACAATGTCTAAAACATAATTTTAACCTCAGTCCACTTGTCAAACAACGAGGAACCACCATTTGGGGATTTCCATAGGCTGCCCAGTAAAGGATATGCGTCTGGCCCTCAGTTCTAACTCATGGCCAGGAACCTATGGGGTGGGGGCTTGTAAGGCCCACATTGTCACATTGCTTAGACAGTCTGTTTATTTACTCAAAGTTTAGAAAACAACGAGCCAGTTAAAAAAACCCTCCCAGGTATGTTTTATAATGTCTTGGATAAAGATTTTCTCACAAGGTTAACTTCATGGAAAGCAGTGTGTGGAATCGTCAAAAAGACTTTCAAATGGATGGCTTCTTTGCCCACCCCCCTCCACACCCCTTTTTTTCTATATCTGGGAAATATAACTCAGACTCCCATCCCCTTAGCCTGAATACACTGGGATCATTGTTAGCACTATACGGGCTCTGTCGTAGCCTGGTAGCACTCTTGTTCCACGTGTTCTGATATTCTGCTGGAATTTCCTGTTTCCTCCTCACTAGATTTGAGCTTCAAGTTCATCCTTTAAAAACTGAGGTGAATGGAGCCCACCTCATAGGTAGTTGGGAAACTATAGTTAGGCTATGGATTCCTTCTGCCTCTCACCTCTGTGATTGACTTATTGCCCCACTGTCTGCCCACACTCATTTCTTTACAGCCAACTCCATCCTCCAGGTCCCTCCCAGATGCCACCTCCTACCTCAAATACTCCTTATCCCTGCACCTACACACATGCCCGTGCCCTACAATCTCCCAGCCACGTCCTTCTGAAGTTAGCTCATATTTCTCACATGCATATTTTAATTACTTTATTAGATTATAAATTCCTCCTCACTAAGACATTGTATGAGTTCACCTTCATCCCCCTCAGAGCATACTACAATGAAATAGATATTTTCTGAATGAGAGAGAAATAAATGAAGATTGTTATATATCTGCATTTGAAATTATTCTAGCAGGGATGGTATAATAACAGTGGAGTCATGCTTCATTGATAGTTGAGGTCTTCACACCCAGACTCTGGATGTAGGTCTTACTTTTCTCATCTGAGGGGGAAGCAGCAAAGACAAGATCTTCATCCCCGTGGACACTGCTGGAATTCATGTATACAGACAGAGCCACATGGCTGACTTCCACATAATAAGGCCCAAGCTCCACTTCAGTTTCATACAGCTCATTATAAACAGCTGCCTTGAGCATATAGACTCCTTCTAGAAGAAAGAAGAAAGAAAAGAAGGAAAGAAAGAAAGAAAGAAAGAAAGAAAGAAAGAAAGAAAGAAAGAAAGAAAGAAAGAAAGAAAGAAAGAAAGAAAGAAAGAAAGAAAGAAAGAAAGAACGCAAGCAAGCAAGTACGCAAGAAAGAAAAGAAGAAAGGACATTTGATGAATTGTTAAAAATCATGAGCAACACTTGACATTTGTATAATTCTTAAGGTGGGGGTGACTCATGGCCACTGACACAGCAAAAGTGATTTTTCTTATCTCTTACAGTAACAGGGCTACTTCATGTCTCATGGCCCATGCTGTCACATAGAGCTCCATACTCAACATACAGTTTAATGGTCTACTGTCTTGAAATTCTTAATAATTTTTAACATGTTTGCTACATTTTCATTTTGCACTATTCCCTAAAAAGTATATAAACACTCTTGTGAAGTGGAAAGTATTCAGAAGCATGGCAATGGATACATTGGTCATCCTATAGTTAGACAAAAACAGACAAAACCTTAAATAAAGAGTCAAATGGAAATATGTCAAAAAACTGTTACGGCAGACTGCAAAATGGTACCAAACTTTTACCTTGTTTTCACTTCCTTATAATACATCTGTAACATAATTTTCCTCTCTTTAAGTAGAACTTATTTCTCCACCCCCTGCTTGGATGCTAGTCTGGCAGCCAAGGAATTTGAGAAGTGCTTGCATATTTGAGTTTGCTTGAGTACTAGCTTGCTTGTCTCATTTGCTTATAATAATCCCTGCTATTGCTCCATGCGAGTAAACTTGGCCAGTCCATTGAGTGGCAAGAGATGTACAACTGACTCTCCCATAAAATCTGACCAATAGCTGCCCCCACAGGAGAGAAGCCACCTTGCTGGCAACTGGTTGAAGATGCATGAATGAAGCCATCTGAGAACAGCCTAGAGAATTTGCAGCAGACAGCGAAATAAGCCAGAAAGAAAAAGAAAAATACCGGATGGTCTCACTCACAGCAGGAATCTAGAAAACCTAAATAAGGGACCAGAAAAAAGAATAACTATAAGAAAGAAAAAATCAAAATCAACAAACAACCATAAACCAGAGACACACTAGCGGGGGGGTGGGTGGGGAAAGGAAGGGTTGGGGTCAAAATAACGGGGGTGCAATTGTATGGGGAATATAAAATTAAAAAAAAATTAAAATGACATAAAACAATTGAAAATAAAGGGATAAAAAAGATAAAAAAAAGAAAGAGAGTGACAGAGGATAGTGAGAGGAGAGGAGAGAGGAGACGAGAGGAGAGAGAGACAGAAAGACAGAGAGGGAGGAGTCAGCTGACAGCTGCAAAGACTCAAATGTAGCTTCCCTGTTGTGTGAAGTTCTAGCAGTTTTGATACAATTGTTGGTCTGTGAAAATTCCCTCATTCCTACTTATTCCTGGATCCTGGCCACTTGCCTTATCACTAATTGTTTAGTTCCCTGTTCAAAAGACCAAATGCTGGAATAGCATTGAATCTGTATATTGCTTTCGGTAGGATGGCCATTTTGAGGATGTTAATTCTTCCAATCTATGAGCAGGGGATGTCTTTCCATTTCTTTGTGTCTTCTTCTTTTTCTTTTAACAGTGTTTTATAGTTTTCTTTGTATAGGTCCTCTACCTCTTTTGTTAGATTTATTCCCAAGTATTTGATATTTTTTTGTTTCAATAATAAAAGGGATTTTTTTTTAAAATTTCTTCTTCTTCAGATTTATTGTTTGTGTATAGGAAGACTACTGATTTTTGCGTGTTGATTTTGGATCCTGCCACTTTACTAAATTGATTGATTAGTTGAATTAGTTTTTCTGTGGATTTTTTGGGGTTCTTTATGTATATTATCATATCATCTGTAAATTGTGATAGTTTAACTTCTTCTTTTCCTATTTGGATTCCTTGTATGTCTTTCTCTTGTCTTATTGCTCTGGCTAGGACTTCCAGTATTATATTGAAAAGCAGTGGTGAGAGTGGACATCCTTGTCTTGTTCCAGATCTTAATGGAAATGCTTTCAGCTTTTCACCATTGAGAATGATACTGGCTGTTGGCTTGTCATATATGGCCTTTATGATGTTGAGGTATGTTCCTTGTATCTCAAGAATTTCAAGGGCTTTTATCATGAATGGGTGTTGCACTTTGTCAAAAGCTTTCTCAGCATCTATTGATACTATCATATGGTCTTATATTTCTTTTAAAAATTTCAATGACATTCTTCAAAGAAATAGAGCAATTATTGATGGAATTCATATGGAATCACCAAAACCCCCAAAAAGCCAAAGCTCTTCTGAAAAAAAAGAAGGGAATGGCGGCATCACACTCCCAGACTTCAAACTCTACTACAAAGCCATAATCATCAAAAGTGCATGGTATTGGAACAAGAACAGACACACAGACCAATGGAACTGAATAGAAAACCCAGAAAGAAACCCACAGATTTATGGTCAACTAATATTTGACAAAAGAGCAAAGAACATGCACAGGAGCAAAGAAAGTTTGTTCAATAAATGGTGCTGGGAAAACTGGGTCGCTACATGCAAAAGAATGAAGCTTGACCACTACCTCACACCATGCACAAAAACCAACTCAAAATGGATTAAAGAACTAGACATAAGACCTGAAACCATAAAATACATAGAAGAAAATATAGGCGAAACACTACGTGACATGCACCTCAAAGACATCTTTACAGACACATCACCCAAAGCAGTGATAGTGAAGGCAAGATAAACAGCTGGGACTACATCAAATTAAAGAGCATCTGCACAGCAAAAGAGACAATAACCAAAACAAAGAGGAAACCCCACCAACTGGGAGAACATTTTTGCACACAACACTAATGATAAAGGACTGATCACAAAAATCTACAAAGAGCTGATGAGACTCAACAAAAACAAAGAAAATAATCCAGTCAAAAAATGGGCAGAAGAGCTAAAAAGAAACTTCTCCAAAGAGGAAATGCAAATGGCCAACAGGCATATGAAAAAATGTTCAACATCAATTGTAATCAGGGAAATGCAAATCAAAACTACAAGGAGATACCATCTCACACCAGTGAAAATGGCACATATCAAAAAAACTAGCAACAACAAATGTTGGTGAGGATGTGGAGAAAAAGGAACAATCCTGCACTGCTGGTGGGAGTGAAAACTGGTCCAACCACTATGGAGAGCTGTGTGGAGATTTCTTGAATTACTAAACATAGAGCTTCTATATGATCCAGCAATTCCACTCCGAGGTATTTACCCAAATGACACAGAAACATTAATTCCAAAGGGCACCTGCACCCCTATGTTTATAGCAGCACTGTTTACAATAGCTAAGCTATGGAAGCAACCCAAATGCCCAAAAATAGATGACTGGATCAAGAAGATGTGGTACATATACACAATGGAATATTACTCAGCAATCAAAAAAGATAAATACATGCAGTTTGCAGCAACATGGATGGAGCTAGAAGGGATCATGATCAGTGAAATAAGTTAGAAAGAAAAAAAAAATACCAGATGGTCTCACTCATAGCAGGAATTTAGAAAATCTAAATAAGAGACCAGGAAAAAGACTAATCAATACAAAGTAAAAATCGAAATCAACAAGCAACTATAAACCAGAGACGCACTGCGGGGCAGGGGGTGGGAAGGGAGGGAGGGTCGGGAAAGGAAGGACTAGAGTTATAATGGGGGGGGGGTGGAATTGTATGGGGAATATAACCAAAATGAAAATGCATACATTGTGCAAAGATGAAAAAAGATGTAAGAATTACATAAAATAAAATATTTAAACAAACAAACAAAGAAAAAACCTGTCTCCTCCAAAGTGTTTGTCTGCAACCCCCTAAGGGCCTCCCTGATGGCGCAAGGGGTTAAGTTTCAGCATATGAAGCTATCTGGAGCCACTGCAGCATGAGATCAATCCCTGACCAGGCAGGTGGCCCACATGGCACAGCAGACCTCTCCTGTCTCGCCCACTGCTCCCCTCAGCAGTGTATTTCAGTAGATCTGCCTGTTGTGCTCCCCACTCTGTTTCTGGTGAATGCTCTCACTTCCCCCCACCCCCACACACACCCCTGGCCTGTACCCCAGCTCTTGTATGCATAAATAAATAAATCTTTAAAAAACAAAAAAACAAAATTTGCAGCAGAAATAAACACATAGCTGCATCATAAGGTACTATATTTGGAGTGACTGGTTACATAATAATGTATTACCAATACAGTTCCCTTAACTGGGAAGAATCTTTAATAATACTATAGTCTTGATCCCCATATAGTATTTTTCAATTGTACATTTTATTCCCAACTTTAAAATGGCTTGGTAATTCCTGATGCTTCCTAGGATACAATCCTTAGCTGGGCCTCATCCTTTGCTGAGCTTATCCCACTTGCCCACCTGGTTTCCTCATGTGGAGCCAGGCACTAACCTCTATCACTAATCTGCACTGTGCAGTGTATTCTTCTCTCCTTACAATGACTTCATCCAGCCTGCTTCCCTCTACCTTGATCCTCATTTAATAACCTAGACAGCAGGAGTGACTACCTGTCACTGACCACAGGTAAGGAGTTGTGTTTCCTTTTCAGGATTCACCACACTGTCTTCTTGTCTCAAAATCTTAGCACAAAATATTTAATATTCATTTTATATATATATATATTCATTTTATATTCATTATATATATTTTTTTCACTATATATATATATATATATATATATATATAAAAGGAATATTTACCAATGACCAATCAAGTTCTACAGAATGTAAAACTGAAGCTCAAAGGCCTCCCTGGTGGTGCAGAGGGTTGAGTGCAGTGCTGTGAAGCTGTCCGCAGCCTCTGCAGCGCAGGTTTGACTTCCGGCCAGCCAGGAAGAGACCCACATGGCCCGGCAGACCTCTCCTATCTTGCCCGCTGCTCCCCTCAGCAGTGTTTTGGTAGTCTTCCTGTTCTGCTCCCCACTCTGTCTGGTGAATCCTCTCACCTTCATGCACCTCT